GAAGCACATGCCCTCCTCGCCAGATTGGACAACGAGCTACCCCAACATTGTCCGCCTCTGGATCGCTGTAGCCGTGCTCCCGCTGAGCACTGTGGAGTGCGAGCGCGGGTTCTCGCGGCAAAACGTGATCAAGAGCTGGCTGAGGGGGAACCTGTGCGACGCCAAGCTTGGTGAGCTCGTGACCGTGTCTCTTCTGAGCTACAACATGGAGTGGCCCGAGTTGGTGGCTCGGTGGCGCAAATCCAAGAAGAGGAGGCCTGCAAAGGATGTGTTGCTGGCGGGAGTGGAGAGGGAGAGCAAGCGCAATAGAAGAAGATCCGCAGCAGCAACAGAGGCCCACGCAGCAGCAGCGGCAGCTGCTGTGGCTGCGGCAGAGGCAGCAGCACGCGAAGCGGCAGCAGTAGCAGAAGCAGCCAGGCTGGATGCAGAGTTCCCCTGGCTTAGTCGTAAGGGGAATGCTAACTATCCTATTCCAGTGCCGTCGGATAGCCTAGACAGCTGTAGTGATGCTGATGATAGTGGTAGCGAGTCTGACTGATACGTAGAATGGTGAAATGATACTTAGTTTTCACATTGTATGTTGTAGAATTGATGTAGTTAGTGTAGACCACGTAGAATAGTTCATCTGTCTAATCAGACTTGTGATATTGTTTTGTCCTAGAGGTCAGACGAAAAAAAAGCGCCAATCTGAGCGTAAGACGATTTTTTTTTTTTTTTACCCATCCTGTCAGACAGGCCTGAATCCTAGCGAGAGCCCTGCCGCCACCCCCATACCCTCCCCCACTGCTGCACCCGCAGCAGAGAGATGGGGGGGGGGGGGGGGGGGGGGGGGGGGTCAGGTGCTGCAGGTCCCCTCCCCCCACTGCCGCATCCGCTCCAGGGGGATGGCAGATCCCCTCCCCCCCACTGCTGCACCCGCAGCAGGGGGAGGGAGAGGAGAAAAGGGCGGAGAGGAGGGGGGGGGAGGGGGGCTGGTGCCGCAGATCCCCTCCCCCCCACTGCTGCACCCGCAGCAGGGGGGAGGTAGGAGAAGGGGCGGGGGGGGGGGGGGGGGGGGGGGGGGGGGGGCGGTGCTGCAGGTCCCCTCCCCCCCTCTGCTGCTCCCGCAGCAGGGGCTGCACCAGGGGCGGCTGCTCCAGGGGCGGCTGCACTAGGGGCGGCTGCTCCAGGGCCGGCTGCACCAGGGCCGGCTGCACCAGGGGCGACAACTCCAGGGGCTGCTGCACCAGGGGCGGCTGCTCCAGGGGCGGCTGCACCAGGGGCGGCTGCACCAGGGGCGGCTGCTCTAGTGGCGGCTGCACCAGGGGCGGCTGCTCCGACGCGTGGCCCCCCCCCCAGGTCGCCCCTCCCGTCGCCTGTTGAGGCAACATGAGGGGGGGGGGGGGAGTACGGGGGCCGACGCGCAGCCTCCCATGGCGCCAAAGCAGGCGGAAGAAGGGGCGACGCGCGCCCCCCCACGCCCCCCCCCCCCAGGTCGCCACGTAAGGCGACGGGAAAAGGGGGGGGGGGGGGGGGGGGGGGGCGGTGCACGGGCCCCTGGTGCGCCACGATCGGCATAAGGGCAGGGCCTGGGTCGGGGCAGGTCCGGGACAGGGCCGGGACGGGGCCGAGGAAGGGCCGGGGCGGGCCGCAAAGGGGCCTAACGGGCCGCGAAGGGGCCGCGAAAAGCCGCGACGGGGCCTAACGGGCCGAGAAAGGGGCCGGGGAAGGGCTGGGCGGGCCGCGAAGGGGCCTAACGGGCCGCGAAGGGGCCGCGACAAGCCGCGACGGGGCCTAACGGGCCGAGAAAGGGGCCGGGGAAGGGCCTGGGCGGGCCGCGAAGGGGCCTAACGGGCCGCGAAGGGGCCGCGACAAGCCGCGACGGGGCCTAACGGGCCGAGAAAGGGGTTGGGGAAGGGCCTGGGCGGGCCGCGAAGGGGCCTAACAAGCCGCGAAGGGGGAGCCGCGACGGACCTAACGGGCCGCGACAGGGTCGGGGCAGGGCCGGGGTCGGGGCAGGCCCGGGATTGGGCCGAGGAAGGGCCGGGGCGGGCAGCGAAGGGGCCTAACGGGCCGCGAACGGGGCCTGACGGGGCCTGATGGGGCCGCAAACGGGGCCTGACGGGGCCTTACGGGGCCTGACGAGGCCGCGAAGGGCCTCACTAGGGGCCGCGAAGGGGCTTACGAGGGGGCTGCGAAAGGGGCCTTACGAGGGGGGCCGCGAAGGGGCCTAACGAGGGGCCGCGAAGGGCCTAACGAGGGGCCGCAAAGGGCCTTACGAGGGGCCGCGAAGGGACGTTAAGGGCAGGCGCGACACGCGCCTAGGGTAGGAAAAAAATTCAGTGTAGACGTGGTGGGCCCTTAGGAAGGATCGATATATGCTCTATACCATGTGAGAATCGAGAAGGAATGAGAAAGGGTGATTGCACTAGAAAGCATTGGGATACATATAGAAAACCCTAACAGGGTTGTACTCACTACAGAGTACCCCACTGCAGACTAGAGAAACATAATATTCTGACATCACTAGCACCCCACATCGCTAGAAGCACAACAATCCGTCAACCCAACACAGTCTGATCGAGATACAATACAAGCAGCATGTAACAAACATAAGACTGCCATTGTAACAAACATGATACAACTCGGAATTATTACGGAAACATAAGACTGCAAGAACACAAAAGAGCTGAAACATGAAAATTAATAAAATGAGTGGAGAGGCAACATTTGGGATGTTTATGAATTTTTTCTGTTTGAGAATTTTCAACCAACCTTCCCACATTCTTTCAGGATATGTATCCATACATACCGTCATCGCCCGGATATAAGACAGTGTCGAATTGAAGACATGGGGTGTCGTTAAAACGGGTGTTTCTTATAGATGGGTGTTCCTGATTATAAGACAACTGTCGGTGTGTACAAGTTAAGCCAGTATAGGGATTAGGGGCAATCTTATGACTAGGGGGTATCTTCTAAACGGTTTTTTGTCCATTTATAAGAATTATAAGACACCCTAAACTGTCCCAATTACAAGACACAGCAAGCTTTTTTTCTAATGTATAAGATAAGACATATATGTCTTCTATCCGGACGATGACGGTAGACGATTTACATGCAAATGCTTCCCTCGAAAATCTTCGATGGAAAATCTTCTATCATCCTTGCTCTTTTTCATTATGATAACAATCGCTTTACGTGAGTGGTACTCATACGACTCTTATGAATGATCTCTTCTCCAACCCTCTTGCTCCCCCCCTCCCCTCTCCCCCCTCTCTCTCTCCCTCTCTCTCCCTTTCTCTCCCTCTCTCTCTCTCTTTCTCTCTCTCTCTCTCTCTCTCTCTCTCTCTCTCTCTCTCTCTCTCTCTCTCTCTCTCCTCTCTCTCTCTCTCTCTCTCTCTCTCTCTCTCTCTCTCTCTCTCTCTCTCTCTCTCTCTCTCTCTCTCTCTCGCTCTCTATAAAAGTCTGTGTATTAATAGAGCAATAAAGGTACATGCATGCATGTGCATGTTAAAGATTTTCAAGGGAAGCATTTGCATGTAAATCGTCTATGTATGGATACATATCCTGAAAGAATGTGGGAAGGTTGGTTGAAAAATCTCAAACAGAAAAAAGTTCATAAACATCCCAAGTGTTGCCTCCTCACCAGGGCTTTTTTTTTTTTTTTTTTTTCACTACTCGGATTTCCAGAGCTGTTTTCTAGAGAACTCTGAAATTCAGGGTTCATTATGAGCGTTACTCTGATTTGTCAGAGAAAACTTAACTTCTGAAAAATCTACTCTGGGCACCCAGTGTACCTTTTTTTCCAACTCTGAGTGTCCTCTCAAGTTTTGAACCCAGGCCCTCTGCACTCCTACCAAAAGGCTTAAGCGTTGTGCTACGCGCTAATCAGTGATAATATTGACTTTTATATATTTATTTAGTTTGCTTATGTTCCAACAATTAATGGGAGAGGATTGGGGGGGGGGGTTGTGACACGGTGAAATGCCTATACCCTGTACAGAGAAAAGTATATCGGTCACAAATATACACTGGTCTCTCAGAGTAGCTAAAATCAGAACCCTGACAAATCAGAGAAAACTTATCCTCCAAAAACATTACCCAGACACGTCAGAGTGACCCCCTAAAAACCACTCTGATTTTCAGAGAAACAGAGTAATTTACTCTGATAAAAAAACCCCTGCTCCTCGCTCATTTTATTAATTTTCATGTTTCAGCTCTTTTGTGTTCTGGCAGTCTTATGTTTCCGTAATAATTCCGAGTTGTTTGTTACATGCTGCTTGTGTTGTATCTCGATCAGACTGTGTTGGGTTGACGGTTTGTTGTGCTTCCAGCGATGTGGGGTGCTAGCGATTTCCGTCAAACCCAAGGCAGTAGGTGGTGACCTGGCGTGTTTGCCAGGTTCGGAGTAGCTGCCCTGGCTTGTGATTTGCTTCGGGCCTATTTCGTAGGGTCGCGACTCACGAGGCCCCAAGTTGGCACTGTTTCTGCTAACCCGAGGCCCCAGTCTGATCAATTCCCAACGAATTTCGCGAAAGGGTGACCATGAGGCACAAATTCAACTTCACGCTGACGAAACCATCCCCCCGACTTCACTAGTTGGAAAGAACCAAATGTGGGCATTGTTAAGGTAACCCCTCTCGAGCCATACTCAGAGAGGTGCAGCCAACGTTCACCCAAAAGCCCGAGTAGGGAAAGCTGTAACTCTGAGTTAGTTTGCCCGTGAAAGAAGATTCGGTGCATGCTTCCTACGAAGCGGACTCAGAGTTATAACTTCGCGTATTTGGAACCCATATTTGCTAACTCAGAGTTGGCTGGCACGGTGTGATTGTAACGTACACACGTGTGAGGGTTGAGTTAATGAAGCCACCACGAACCCTGTTCACTCTGAGTTAAGGGGCCACAGAACAAGGCTGAAGTCTTACATAACTGAGACCACTAGTTCCCGCCATGCTCTCATTCTCAGTTCTATTCACTTTCGCTGTTCACTCTTCATCCTGAATCCGAGCTACAGACGTCTAATGCGCCAGCCGTGGCGCCTCTCGTCATGGGGCCCGCCGTGGGGCGTGGGGAGGGCGCTGCTGGGAGTGGTGTGGGTGGCGGGATGGGCGGGGCTGTGCGCGTGGGTGGTGTGGTTCGCGCACACGCAGGCCGCCAATCCGCGGGAGGAGGCGATGCACGGGTGGTGCCACTTGCGCGTGCGCTACCTCTACCAGCGCCTGCTCTCGTCCGTCTCGCGCGTGCAGGTGCGACGCGTAGCGATAGCGACGCATGGCGACCCATAGCGACGGATAGCGACGCAAAGGAGGTAGAGCACGGGATTTTCAGAAATGATTTGAACGTGAGGTCCCGTGGCGAGCTCGGGAGGTCCCGTATAGAAATTATACGTTCGTGTGGCGAGCTCGGCCTCGTGGCAGGTAGGCCTCGACTTTCAGAAATTATCCGAACGTGAGGTCCCCATGAGTGAGGACTTGGTCTGTGCGAGCCCGGCCTCGTGTGGCGAGCCCGGCTCGTGGCAGGTAGGCCTTGATTTTCAGAAATTATCGGCGCGCTTGACACGGGGGACACGGGGATACGGGGACACGTAGACACGACTGTCAACGACATTCCGTCTGGTGTCCTGGAGCTCTTTCCGTCGCGCAGCGGCGACGCGACTTTTGATTCGACCTAAAATTTCCGCCTCGGAGCTCTCTCCGTCGCGCAGCGGCGCGCTCCCACCGCCCCGCACGGCGCTGATGGCCCCCCCCGCCCCGGGGTGCGGAACCTAGAGGGGCGGCGCGGAGGGGAGACGGCTTTGCTTAACTCGTTGTGCGTGTGTATGTCTGCGTGTGTGCGCACGTGTGTGCATGTGTGCGTGTGTATGTGCGCGTGTGTATGTGCGCGTGTGCATGTGCGTGTGTGTGTGTGTGTGTGTGTGCGTGTGTATGTGTGCGTGTGTGCATGTGCATGTGTGCGTGTGTGTGTGTACGTGTGCGTGTGTATGTGTGCATGTGCGTGCGTGCGTGTGCGTGCGTGCAGGAGATGTCAGCGCTGCTGCGCGTTTTGAACGGGTACGACCCGCGGAGAAGAAGCACGAGTCTGACCTTTTGGGGCGTGGCGGGGTGTGCACCACCCCTGCTGACCTCGTTGCGTGTGCACACGTGTGTGCATGAGCAGTAAATGTCGGCGCTGCTGCGCGTGCTGAACGGGTACGGCCCGCGCAGCAGCACCAACCTGATCTCTCGGGGAGTGAAGGGGTTCGAACCAGCATTGCTCAACTCCGTTGCGCATGTGTGTGTATCTGTGTGTGTGTGTGTGTGTGTGAGCAGCAAATGGCAGCAATCCTGCGTGTGTTCAACGGGTACGGCCCCCCCAGCAGCACCAACCTGACCTACTGGGGCGTGGCGGGGTGTGCCAATAACAACAGTCTGATGCGATACAAAGACGCCACCACCGCCATGGGATTGGATTACCTCACCCTAGGGACAGTGCTCATGCTCGTGAAGGACAGCGACAGGTGAGTGTGGGTGTGGGTGTGGGTGTGGGTGTGGGTGTGGGTGAGGGTGTGGGTGTGGGTGTGGGTGTGGGTGTGGGTGTGGGTGTGGGTGTGGGTGTGGGTGTGGGTGTGGGTGTGGGTGTGCGCGTGGGTGTGGGTGCACTACAATCCTACCCTAGGGCCTGGAGCATGGGCCTGTAGAGCCTCACCTTAGGGACGCTCGGCATGCAAGTGGAGGATGCTGACAGGTGGGCGTGAGTGAGTGAGTGTGTGTGTCACTGTGTGTGTGTTTGTGTGCGTGTGTGTGTGTGTTTTTTTTTGTGTGCGTGTGTGTGTGTGTGTGTGTGTGTGTGTGTGTGTGTGTGAGTGTGTGTTTGTGTGCACGTGCGCGCGCGCCCCTATCTCTCTTTCTACCACCAGTTGCTTTCTCATCCCCCTATCTCTCTTTCTACCACCAGTTGCTTTCTCATCCCCCTATCTCTCTTTCTACCACCAGTTGCTTTCTCATCCCCCTATCTCTCTTTCTACCACCAGTTGCTTTCTCATCCCCCTATCTCGCGTTCCTTTGCAGGGCATTGGTGGAGCGCATCCCACGTATGGTTGCTCGTGAGGCGCCTCAGCAATACGTTCCTCTCCCGTTCCTCTCCTCTCCCGTTCCTCTCCTCTCCTTCTCCCCAGGGCACTGGTGGAGCGCATAACAGGCATGGCCATCAAGTCCCCTCTCGGGCTGCCTTCCCCTCGCATGCCGCACTACATCGTCAACTATCTCAGCGGATACACCAACATCCCAGTCGAGGCTTTCATCGATTTCTCCGCCATGGTCCCCCCGCCGCTCCTCTCCTCCATTCTCTTTCTCCCCAGGGCATTCGTGGAGTGGAGGCCATAACAGGCATGGTTGCTCTTGAGGCGACTCAGCAATACTTTCCTCTCATCTCACATTCCTCTCCTCTCCCATTCCTCTCCTCTCCCATTCCTCTCCTCTCCTGTTCCTCTCCTCTCTTTCTCCCCCAGGGCACTGGTCGAGTGCATAACAGGCATGGACATCAAGTCTCCTCTCGGGCTGCCCTCCCCTCGCAAGCAGCACTACATCATCAACTTTCTCCCCGGATACGCCTACCTCGCCAATCTCGAGGCCTTCATCGATTTCTCCGCCATGGCCCCCCCGGCGCTCCTCTCCTCCATTCTCGATGGCAACTCTGCCTCTTTGCCGCCTGTCTTTTTCAACAATGACTTGCGTGTGGGCACTGGTGAGCTGCGTGAGGCTTTCATTGATTTCTCTGCCATGGCCCCCCCGCTCCTCTCCTCCTTTCTCGATGGCAACTCTGTCTTGTTGCCGCCCGTCTTTTTCAACAGTGACCTGCGCGTGGGCACTGGTGAGCTAAGCTTTCTCTTATGCGTGTGGGCACTGGTGAGCTGCGTGTGGGCACTGGTGAGCTGCGTGTGGGCACTGGTGAGCTGCGCGTGGGCACTGGTGAGCCAAGTTTCTTTCTTTTGTGCCTGATAGGCTGCATGTTTCTAGGCGCCTCAGAAAGCAACTCTGTCTCGTTGCCGCCCGTCTTTTTCAACGACAATCTGCGTGTGGGCACTAGTGAGCTGATTCTTTTTGAGCCATTTCAAAAGAGTTCCCAAGCTGAGTCGTTTTGAGACGTTTTGAGAACTCTGAATGTTATCATGTGCCTGTTTTCTTGGGTGAGTGGGTGGGTGAACACTGGAGAGTGGGTGAACATTGGTGAGTAAGTGGTGTTGTCATGTCACATGATCCGTATTCTCTCTCAAATTGTTGCACTACAATTTAGCGCAAGGTGAATTTTTCTTTGACCGTACGCTGCCTTATCAAATCGGCCTTATGTTCGATGCCAACCGATCTGCAGTTGGGTAATCTGCATCGATCTTCTGACATAATTCTCAGCAAGAACAGTGAGGGTCTGGGCTTAAGGCAAATGATAGATAGTTCGGTGTTTTTCTCATCCATAAGTGGTCCATCATGGTCCATCCATCCATCCATCCATCCATCCATCCATCCATCCATCCATCCATCCATCCATCCATCCATCCATCCATCCATCCATCCATCTATCCATCCATCCATCCATCCATCCATCCATCCATCCATCCATCCATCCATCCATCCATCCATCCATCCATCCATCCATCCATCCATCCATCCATCCATCCATCCATCCATCCATCCATCCATCCATCCATCCATCCATCCATCCATCCATCCATCCATCCATCCATGTGTGCAGTGATGGTGGTGCCTATATTCCGCCATCTCGTCCCCGAGAACGCAACACTGGAGCAGCGGAGGGCGAGTGTGAGTCCCACCGCATGGACCGACCTCAGCTATATGGGCAACGACCTGCAAGACGTCCTTCACCTGCTGCATAACGGTGAGACCACTCCCCCATAACGGCCCTCACTCTACTCTACTGCATGCAAGTGACACAAACAGACCCTGGTTATGCAGAAAGAGTGTGAGCCGTGGTAGTCCCACCGCATGGGTCGACCTCAGCTATATGGGCAACGAGCTACAAGCCGTCCTTCACCTGCTGCATAACGGTCCGGCCCCTTCCCCATAACGGCCCGTAGCCTGCTGCATAACGGTTCGATCGCTTCTCTTTGACTTTTGCGCCCATATGTTGCCTGGAGCCCATTTCTGAGGTTCCTGAAAGCCTGTGTCCCCCATGCCTTTCCCTCCATGCATGTGTGTGTCTCGCCGCATGCAGACAGCAGCACCAGCGCCTATTCTATCGCCATGTACGGCACAACTGACCCAGAGCAGCCCATTCAAATGCTTTAGAGTCGTCTCATAACCCTCATGTGCCCCCACTTTCTTTCCATGTATGTGTGTTTCTCGCTGCATGCAGACAGCAGCACCAGCTCCTATTTGATCGCCCTGTAATGTATGACACAATCGATCTAGGGCAGCCCATTCAGGTGCTCTTCAGTTGACTCAAACGTCTCATGCACCCCCAATGCTTTCCACGCCTGTGTGTCTTCCCCCAATGCAGACAGCAGTGCCAGCTCCTATTCGATCGCTCTGTACGACACCACCAACCCAGAGCAACAATTTTAAGTGCTCGGTCAGAGCTCAAGTTTGGGGGGCGTCTAAGGGAGTACCATTTTCCGAGGCGTCTAAAACATATGTTTTCCCATGCCTTCCATGCATTTGTGTGTCTTCCCCTAATGCAGACAGCAACGCCGATTCCTATTCGATCGCGCTGTACGACACCACCGACCCGGCGCAGCCCATTCAGGTGCTCGGCCCGGATCCGGTCAAGCTCCTGAGGCTCCTCTATATCTGTGTCCTTCCCCCATGCCCTCCATGCATGCATGTGCGTGTGTGTGATGCACGCAGACAGCAGCGCCAGCTCCTATTCTATCGCCCTGTACGACACCACCGACCCGAAGCAGCCCATTCAGGTGCTCGGCCCGGATCCAGTCAAGATGGAGAGCGGCACCCTCTTCCCTTACGTGCTGCCGGGCCCTGTCGTGCCTTACCCCAAGCACATCGAGTCGTTTCCTGACGACCTGCTGGACCGCAAATACGAGGCACACTGCAGGTGAGACGAGGAAGAGGTGAGGAAGGAGAGTGGCACCCTATACCTCTATTTGCTGCCGGGCCCTGTGGTGCCTTACCCCAAGCACATTGAGCCGTTTCCTGAGGACTTGCTCGGCCGCAAATACGAGGCGCACTGCAGGTGAGGCGAGGAGGCAGTATGGGTAAATAAGCCTGCAGGTGAGGCGAGGAGGCAGTATGGGTAAATAAGCCTGCAGGTGAGTGATAGAGTGCCCCTGAGGCTGGGGAGTGGAACCCTCTTTCCCTACGTGCTACCCGGTCCTGTCGTGCCTTCTTCCAAGCTAAGTTGGTCATTTACGCCATTTCTCCCAAGCACATCGAGCCGTTTCTTGACGACCTGCTGGGTCGCAAGTACGCTGCGCACTGCAGGTGAGGCGAGAAGGCAGTATGAGTTAATATGCCTGCTGGTGAGGCGAGAAGTCAGTATGAGTTAATAAGCCTGCTGGTGAGGCGAGGAGGCAGTACGGGTAATTAAACCTGCAGGTGAGGCGAGGAGGGAGGCGAGGATGTAGTGTAGGTTAGACATGGAGCCCCTGAGGCTGGAGAGCGGCACCCTCTTCCCCTACGCCCTGCCGGGCCCTGTGGTGGCTTCTCCAAAGCACGCTGAGCCGTGTCCTGAAGACTTGTTGGGCCGCAAGTATGAGGCGCACTGTAGGTGAGGGAAGGAGGCAGTGCAGGTGCTGCCGCACATACTGTTAACGGGAATGGAGTGTTGGCCCCGCCCTCGCTTGGGCAACGCCGACGACTTGGTCGGATGCACGGGAGTAGCAGCCGACTGTTCACAGTGGGATAGCTGCTCGACAGGTTACGTCGAGCGTCAGCGGACCGCTGTGGTGTTGCTGTCGACCAGGATGCTCGACAGCTGCAACTGACTGGCCTGGGCGACGGGTGAGCCGTCCGGGAGGTCGACGAAGCAGTCCGTCGACCTACAGTTCGACGGGGAGGTCTACGGAGCATCCCGTCGAACTGCAGTTCGACCGGGAGGTCGACGGAGCAGTTCTGGTCGACGGAAGGGGTCCGTCGACCAAGGGGTAGCTTGACGGGAGGTGTGGTCGACCAGGAGCATCCGGTGGTCGACCAGAGAGACCCAGTGGTCGACGGGAGGCACCTGGGAGTCGACCAGAGCACCAGGGGTCGACCAGGTCGACCGGGTAACCTGCTCGACGAGTTCTGCGGAGGCACGCGAATGCCGTCAAGATCGCGATGGCGCAGGCGACTTCGGGCTAGTATCCCGAAGTCGATGTGGCTCGTCAGGCGCAGACAACAGCCGACGGATGCCCAACGAGGCAAGTCGGACTAGGGATGAGCAAAGGGCGAACACGAACATGTTCGTCTTCGCCCCTTGTCGAACACCCTCTTTTGCCGAACCGAACAGTGTTCGGTTCGGCGAACAGTTTAGGAAAAAACAGGTGTTCGCTGTTCGCCTGTGGAGGCGTGTTCGGGCGAACCTCGAACACTGTTCGTGTTCGTGGCGGGCAAATTTCAGCAGCGGCCCGAACACGAACGTGTTCGGGCGAACATCGAACACTGTTCGGCGAACGATTTGAGCTAAAAAACAAAACCTGTTCGGTTCGCCTCGAACACGTTCGAGGCGAACCGAACAGGTGTTCGCCACCTTGCTCATCCCTAAGTCGGACCAATCGTCTGCGCACACCTGCGAGCGCGCGCACTGCTGTGTTCTACGGGGCACGCCGTCGACCTGCTTTGTTGGCAGGTCGCCCTTCTGCAGTGCTGGCGCGGCTCCTCTACGCAATGCTGGCAGGCGGTCGACCGAGCTGCGCTGGCAGTCGACCAGGCTAGCTGCAGGGTTGCTAGGTGCCTGATGTGGTCATTGTTGTCATTGCTTCTTTTATTCAATTCTGTAATTCCAACTTTGCTAGTGGAAACTCTTGCCAATTTCTCTTGTGAATGTGCAAACACTAAGGAACTAAGCAAAGCTAAGATCACCTCTAGTAGTTCGTGCCAACCCATGTAGTCTAGCTCACTACCGTTGTAGAGTTAATCTCCACATGGTGCGGTGAGCGTGGAACGAACACGCGACCTTCAGATAGGAGCCGACTTTTGCACCTACTAAGTCGTTCGTAGGCCGGCAGCAGCGATAGTCGCCATGGTTGACCTCGTAGTTGATGCGGGTGTAGCGGACACTTTGGAGGCACGTTTGGCTGACGCGAGGAGACGCCACGCGAATGGCGAGTACGGGACGATCCCCTTAGTGATCGCCGAGTTGGGCATCCGGTCGCAGTGGGCGACGGAACACCCTTCCCGTCCTGCTTCTCCTCGACCGGTGCGCAACGAAGGTGGCGTCGACGACGAGGTCGACGGTGGTGCACGAGTCAGCGGCAGCGAAGGCACGAGGCATAGAGGAGTGATCAAGGTCGACGGTGGTGTCGACGGAATCCAGGCGCGAGTGCAGCGGTCGACGGCGGCTGCAGGCAGCTCGCACGCCGACGTCGATGTTCGACGTCGCTCTCCTCTACGAAGTGGTGGCGGGCTCTCGGCGACGACGCATGTGACTGCGGGCGGGATTGCACCGGCGTATGGCTACTTCAAGTTTTCGCCGGATCGGATCACCGTCGCTCCGCTGCAAGGTCGACGGGACCTCATCACCTGGAGGGAGTCGATCGAACCTCAGCTGGAGGTCGCCGGGCTGAAGGGCTTCGCCGACGGCACTGTGCCAATTCCGCCCGAGGAGGATGTCGGGCTGCGCGGGGAGTTTCGTTCTGCTCACCTGCTCACCTTCATGGTCATCTCGAGGTGCTGCTCGCCGGTGGTACAGCTGGCGCTCAGGAGCTGTCGAGAGCGACTGGATGCTGGTCACCAGGCATGGCGCTTCATCATGTCGACGTACCAGGTCAGGGACGACCTGTACATCGGGCAGCTGGAGGAGAAGATGACTCACATTCGGATGGGCGAGCAGGAGTCGGCGACGGATTACTGCAACCGTGCTCGACGGATCCTGGCTGAGATGCGAATGGCGGACGCCGAATACTTGACGGCGTCCTACATCACCCACATCGTCAAGGGCTTGCCGCGTAGCTACAATCTCATGAAGAGGATGATGATGGTGCCTGGCACGCGTGAGTCCCTCGACGAAGACTCCATCACCAGCTACATTCTCCAGGATGAGGCGATGCAGGAGGCAGAGCAGCCCACGGAGTTCCTTCCGCAGGCGAGTTACGCTGCACCGACGAAGCCGAATTATCAGCAGGAGCAGCGCGGGAAGCCAGGCGGAAGTGGTAGCGGAGGTGGGCGGTCGACGAAGGACGTCGACGAGAAGAGGTCGACGCGGGACAAGGGTCGACGAGGTGGTGGTCGACGGCGGGAGTGCTGGGTCTGCGGCGACCCCGACCATCTCTCCTTCGAGTGCCCCGACCGCGATGAGAGCGACGAGGACGACAACAAGGAAGGCCACGGTCGATCGGCCAGTCGTCGCCCCCGTCGAGTTGAGAAGCCGCGCAAGGAGAAGCAAGCGTCGAAGAAAACGTCCTCGACGAAGGACGTCGACAGCTCCAGCGGCAAGAGCCGAGGCGACGGGGAGGCTTCGTGCTCGATGGTCGGCGTGGTGGAGCCGACGGTCTCACTAGCACCGGAGGCTGGCGAGGACTTCCAGGCGGTGGCAGCAGCTGTGCAGGCCAACCCGATGGCGGTGCTGCTCGACAGCGGGTGCTCCCACCACCTGATGGGGACGAAATCGGTCTTCGTTGACATGGGTCCGAGCGATGGGGTGAAGCACGTGCGTGGGTTCAACGGGGCATTGCAGCCTGTCGAGGGTCGCGGAACCGTCGCTCTGCATGGGGAGGCCGGGAGGCGGGCTCTCATCCCCGACGTACTTTACGTTCCGGGCGTACAGGCAAACCTGTTGTCTGCTGGCCAGCTGAAGGAGAGCGGCGTGCTACTGCGGGGCGATGGCGATGAGATGTTGCTCGTCGCCGCGACTGGAGAGGTGCTCGGTCGAGCGCGCTACACCGGACGAGTCCCCTGCACCGACCTTCGCCCCTGCTCGACGCAGTCGCAGTCGACCGAGGTGGTGGCTCTGCGGACGATCGTCTCGGCGACGAAGACGACCCCCGATAGGATGCATGCGCGGCTTGCCCACGTCAGCGTCGACACGATCAAGAGCTCGGCGAAGCATGATGTTGCTACTGGGTTCGACATCACGCTGTCAACCGGAGCAGACCCGCCATGTGTCTCGTGCGTCGGAGGAAAGCTGGCGCGGCACATCTTCCCTGCCACGGGCTCGGATGCAGCGGAGGCGCTGGCTGTCGTGCACATTGACTTGTGCGGGCCATTTCGAGTGGCTGCCAAGGATGGCAGCTTGTACTCCCTGCTGTTAAAGGATCGCCATACTCGATTTGTATGGTCAATGCCGGTCGCCAAGAAGAGCGATGTGCTGCGGGAGTTCCAGCGGTGGCTAGTGCTGGTGGAACTGCAGACGAAGAAGTCGGTGCTGTCGCTTCGCTCCGATCGAGGAGGGGAGTTCCTCGGGAAGGCGTTCACCGACTTCGTCGACGGGAAGGGCATCGTCCACGACCTGACGTGCCCCTACACTCCGCAGCAAAATGGCATGGCTGAGCGGGAGATGCGCACGGCCGTCGAGTCCGTGCGGACGATGTTGCTGCACATGGGCGTGCAGCACCATTGGTGGCACCTTGCCCTACGACAAGCTGTCTGGGTGCGCAACTGCTTGGAGCGGTCGAAGACGCCGCCGGGGACGACTCCGTACCAGCTGCTGACCGGGCAGAAGCCCGACCTTACGCTGGCGCGGGTGTGGGGCTGCATGGTGCAGTTCATGATTCCCGAGCAGCAGCGTGGTGGGAAGCTGGCGCCGAAGGCTCGCTGGGGACTTCACCTGGGTGTGTCGCCAGCAAGCAAGGGCTGGGAAGTGCTCGACCTGACTGACAACAAGGTGGTCACGTCGGTCGAGGTGATCTTCTACGAGACGCTGTCGCTGGAGGTGTGGAAGGCGAAGTATGGGCCGGCGTCGCAGCGGACGCAGGCGCACCCGCCAACGGATACATCTACAGCGCCGGTTCCGTTGCTCGCCGAAGTCGACGGACCCGGTGATGAGGCTGTTGTGGAGGCTCTTTCTCCTTCCCCTGTCTTTGCTCCTCCGTTCCCCGTCGCAGATCGGCCTGGGTCGGCACCTGTGTCGCCCACCGTCGATGAGGGGAGCCTTGAGGCGTCGCCTGTGGCGCCGGCCCATGGCATCGCCGGCGGTCGACAAGGCGTCAAGCTCGTCGACCAGGATGGGAAGCCGTCGACGACAAGGGAGCACCAGACAGGGGAGCCGGTCGAACAGGAGCCATCGGCAGGGGTACACTCGCTAGGGGAGCGGCAGCCGGAGCGGTCGACAGGAGAATTGTCGAAGGTAGCAGCAGAGGAACAGCCGGTCGAAGGGTCGAAGCAGCTGGTCGACGACGTTCTAGTTGAAACGAAAGGGGAGCTATCGGCGGGTGAGGAGTCCACCGACAGCGACGTGAAGGAAGTGCCGATCACGAAGCCTGAGCTGCGACGCTCAGGTCGAGCTCGACGGCCGCCGGAGCGGTTGAGCTTTCACGCCTGCTTACCGCCAGCTGCCTTCACCACGGTGTACGACGAGGTCGACGACGACCTGCTGTACGACGATGCCGAGGAGGATGAAGACCTGTCGGAGCTCGACCCTGACGTGCATGCCGACCCCGAACACCGCTAGGACATCGCCACGATGACGGTGAAGGAGGCGCTGTCGAGCTGGAAGGGCGAGGCGGTGAAGGCAGCCATGGAAGAAGAAATCCGTAGCCTCATCGCTATGGGGACTTGGGAGCTGGTCGAACGCCCACGCGGGGTGAACATTATGAAGAACCGATGGGTGCTGACGACCAAGTACCGCATCGACGACACCGTCGAGCGCGAGAAGGCGAGGCTGGTCGTAAAGGGCTTCACGCAGGTGTACGGCGCCGACTACGACGAGACGTACTCGCCGGTGAGCAGCTACGTCACGCTGAGGATCTTCCTCAGCATCGTCGCCGTCCTCGACCTCAACCTGATGCAGCTCGACATGAAGAACGCTTTCCTGCAGAGCAAGCTCGACAGAGTGCTCTACATGTACCAACCGGACTACTTCGACGACGGGACCGGCCGGGTGGGTAAGCTGCTGAAAAGCCTCTACGGGCTGAAGCAGTCGCCGCTGCTGTGGTACAGGGCTCTTGACGGTGTGCTGCTGGGCGCTGGCTGGAAGAAGAGCCAGGTCGACGAGGCGCTCTACTTCAAGACCGGCGACGACGGTGTGACCTGCTGGGTCTTGGTCTACGTCGACGACCTGCTCGCCGCTAGCAGCAGCACCGCGATGCTGAAGGAGCTGAAAGAGCTGCTGGAGGCCTCCTTCGAGCTGCGTGAGATCTCGCCGGTGGAAAAGTACCTTGGGCTGGAGATCGTGCGCGACAGGCCGGCCAGGAAGTTGTGGCTGCACCAGCAGGGCTACGCCGACAAGCTGCGCAGGCGCTTCGTCGACGAGGAGCTAGGCGGTCGAGTCCCGAAGACGCCGGTCTCGGTCGACGCCTACGTTCATCTGACGTTCGACGACGAGGAGGCTCAGGAGCGCGAAGAGGAGGAGTACCGCCAGAAGGTCGGCTCGCTGCAGTTCGCGGCGACGACGACGAGGCCGGACATTGCGTTCGCCTGCAGCAAGCTGGGGAGCGGCCTCACGGTGAGGAGCGACCAGCATTGGCGTGAGGTCGACCGTTGCCTCGCCTTCCTCGCTGACACCCGCGACACCGCCCTGGAGTTTGGCGGTGGACCAGAATCGTTGGAGCTGATCGGCTACGTCGACGCCGACGACGCGGGCGACAAGCAGAACCGGACGAGCACGGGAGGCTACGTGTTCGTCTACGGAGGGGCCGCCGTCTCCTGGTCGAGCTCGCGCATCAAGTGCGCGACATTATCATCGACCGAGTCGGAGTACGTGGCGGCCACGGATGCCGGCAAGGAGGGGCGTCGACTTAGGGTTCGAACTGCAGTTCGACCGGGAGGTCGACGGAGCAGTTCTGGTCGACGGAAGGGGTCCGTCGACCAAGGGGTAGCTTGACGGGAGGTGTGGTCGACCAGGAGCATCCGGTGGTCGACCAGAGAGACCCAGTGGTCGACGGGAGGCACCTGGGAGTCGACCAGAGCACCAGGGGTCGACCAGGTCGACCGGGTAACCTGCTCGACGAGTTCTGCGGAGGCACGCGAATGCCGTCGAGATCGCGATGGCGCAGGCGACTTCGGGCTGGTATCCCGAAGTCGATGTGGCTCGTCAGGCGCAGACAACAGCCGACGGATGCCCAACGAGGCAAGTCGGACCAATCGTCTGCGCACACCTGCGAGCGCGCGCACTGCTGTGTTCTACGGGGCACGCCGTCGACCTGCTTTGTCGGCAGGTCGCCCTTCTGCAGTGCTGGCGCGGCTCCTCTACGCAATGCTGGCAGTCGGTCGACCGAGCTGCGCTGGCAGTCGACCAGGCTAGCTGCAGGGTTGCTAGGTGCCTGATGTAGTCATTGTTGTCATTGCTTCTTTTATTCAATTCTGTAATTCCAACTTTGCTAGTGGAAACTCTTGCCAATTTCTCCTGTGAATGTGCAAACACTAAGGAACTAAGCAAAGCTAAGATCACCTCTAGTAGTTCGTGCCAACCCATGTAGTCTAGCTCACTACCGTTGTAGAGTTAATCTCCACACATACATCCTCCTAAGCTTCAGTTGAGAGATTCACATCAAGGCTGTCTGACTCACATGAAATGGCGCATGCACATGTGTGTCCCCCTCCTCCACATGATGCAGCTTCTTCACATGCCCTCTGTCTTCCTCACATGAATGTCCGCGTGCAGGTTTGAGGGCCCCTACCCCAGGTGGGAGCTGGTTGTTGCTCCCATGCTGCTAGGCCTGCTGGTGCTGGTGGTAGCCGTGCTGCTGTCTCTCGTGATTGCCGTGCTGGCATGGAAGAGGCGGCAGATGGCGGAGGGGGTGAGAGAGATGCAGCTGTGTACGGCGGCGCTGGAGAGGGCCGAGAAGTCCAAGAGTGAGACGGTGGCCAACACGTCTCATGAGCTGCGCACGCCACTCATCGGCGTGATAGGTGAGGGAGAGAGGGCATGTATCGGTTAGTGTGAGGGAGGGCGCACATGTATGTGCGAGGGCGTTCACACGTGCATGTGTTAGGACGTTTAGACCTGAGTGAGGTCGACATGCGTCGTGTGAGTTATGAGCCGCATCAAAAGCCGCTGGAGAGAGTAGAGAATTCCAAGAGTGAGACGGTGGCCAACACGTCGCATGAGCTGCGCACACCACTCATTGGCATGATAGGTGAGAGCTGCGGACACCACGCATTGGCGTGATAATGATATTGGTGATGTGGTAATTGTAATGGTGATGTGGTAATTGTAATGGTGATGTGGTAATGGTAATGGTGATGTGGTAATGATAATTGTGATGTGGTAATGGTAATGGTGATGTGGTAATGATAATTGTGATGTGGTAATGGTAATGTGGTAATGGTAATGGTGATGTGGTAATGGAAATGGTGATGTGATAATGGTAATGTGATAATGGTAATGATGATGTAGTAATGGTAATGGTGATGTGGTAATGGTAATGGTGATCTGGTAATGGTAATGGTGATGTAGTAATGATAATGGTGATGTGGTAATGGTAATGATGATGTGGTAATGGTAATGGTGATGTCGTAATTGTAATTGTGATGTGGTAATGGTAATTGCGATGTGGTAATGGTAATGGTGATGTGGTAATGGTAATGATGATGTGGTAATGGTAATGATGATGTCGTAATGGTAATGACGATGTGGTAATGGTAAATGGGATGTGGTAATAGTAATTGTGATGCGGTAATGGTAATGTGGTAATGGTAATGGTAATGATGATGAGGTAATGGTAATGATGATGTGGTAATGGTAAGATGATGTGGTAATGGTAAATGGGATGTGGTAATAGTAATTGTGATGTGGTAATGGTAATGGTGATGTGGTAATGGTGGTAATGATCATGTGGTAATGGTAATGATGATGTGGTAATGGTAATGATGATGTGGTAATGGTAATGATGATGTGGTAATGGTGGTAATGATGATGTGGTAATGGTAAATGGGATGTGGTAATAGTAATTGTGATGCGGTAATGGTAATGTGGTAATGGTAATGGTGATGTGGTAATGTTAATGATGATGTGGTAATGGTAATGGTGATGTGATTATCGTAATGGTGATGTGGTAATGGTAATGGTGATGTGGTAATTGTAATGTGGTTATGGTAATGCTAAGTTGGAGTGTACGCTCAAGTCAGTTTGCGTATTGAGTTTATACGCTTCGAAAAAACGTACGCTGCGTTTTTTTGTGTAAATACGCCGAAAAACGCTTGGGCAGACTGGAAAAAAAAACCCGAAGTTGGGTTTGAGCTCGCGACATGGCGAACTAAAATCAGGGCATCGCACATTCGGGATCTCAACTTTGAAATTTTATCTCGAAGCAGATCCACAACAACCCCTTCTGTATACCATTGCGCAACCCACTCCACCCCATTCAATCCCAATTCATTCCACTCAATGTCGAGTGGAGGAGTTAGATTCAACCAGACTCACCTCTCCTAGCAGAAATGCGGCTCATCCCTCCCAAGAAGCGTCCAGCGTTTATACGCTACTGGATAAACGCTAGCGTATGAAACGTGAAACGCGTATACTCCAACTAGGGATGAGCAAGGGGCGAACACGAACATGTTCGTGTTCGCCCCTAGACGAACACATCCGTTTGCCGAACCGAACAGTGTTCGGTTCGGCGAACACTTTAAGCAAAAACACGTGTTCGCCGTTCGCCTGTGAAGGCATGTTCGGGCGAACATCGAACACGTTCGTGTTCGTCGTGGGGCAAATTGCGGCAGCGGCCCGAACACGTTCGTGTTCGGGCGAACATCGAACACTGTTCAGCGAACAATTTAAGCAAAAAAAAACAAACCTGTTCGGTTCGCCTCGAACGTGTTCGAGGCGAACCGAACAGGTGTTCGCCCTTGTGCTCATGTCTAACTCCAACTAAGTGGTAATGGTAATGTGGTAATGGTAATGGTGATGTGTTTATAGTAATGGTGATGTGGTAATGGTAATGGTGATGCGGTAATGGTGATAGTGATGCGGTAATGATAATAATGATGCGGTAATGATAATAGTGATGCGGTAATGGTAATAGTGATGCGGTAATGGGGATGGTGATGGGGTAATGGTAATGGTGACGGGGTAATGGTGATGGGGTAATGGTAATGGTGATGGGGTAATGATAATGCTGATGGAGTAATGACAATGATGCAGCGTGAAGACCTAACGGTGGCGAGGGCGTGTGCGGGTGAGACGGTGGAGCTTATTAACCGAGTGTTGGACCTCGCCAAGCTGCAGGCCCCCTTCTTCCCCCCCTCCACCTTCGCTCCCTTCCCCTCCCCTTCCCCTCCCACACAGGCGTGATAGAAGAATTCCTGGAGTCAAGTTTGGAGGAGTGGCAGCGTGAAGACTTGCGGGTGGCGAGGGCGTGTGCGGGCGAGACAGTGGAGCTTATCAACCGAGTGCTGGACCTCGCCAAGCTGCAGGCCACCCCACTTCCCCTCCCTCCTCCTCCGTCCAACACAGGCATGATAGAGGAGCTGCTGGAGTCGCAACTGGAAGAGTGGCAACGTGAGGATCTAAGGATCGCGAGGGCGTGTGCGGGTGAGACGGTGGAGCTGATCAACCGCGTGCTGGACCTCGCCAAGTTGCAGGCAGGATGGCTGCAGCTCGAGACCCTCCCCTGCTGCCTGCGCCGCATTGTGCACGAGGCCACTTCAGCCACTTCAGCAGTTGATGAACCGATAGCACCGGGGAAGAATCTGCAAGGTATAAAAGTGTGCTGGACTGGACCTCGCCAAGCTGCAGGCCGGACGGCTGCAGCTCGAGACTCTCCGGTTTGATGCATCCCAATATTCCCTTCAGTTGGTGCAACGCTGTGGAGTGCGGTCCTGATTCGGGTGCATACTGACTGATGCGTGCTGTTGTGGCTGTGCTGCGGATGCCTTTTGAGTCGACTCAAAAGTCACGATCTGCTACGTATGAGCGGTTTGATGCATCCCAATTTTCCCTTCAGTTGGTGCAACACTGTGGAGTGTGGTCTGATGCATGCTGTTGTGGCTGTTTTTGAGGCGCCTAAAAAAGGATCCTAATTCTCTGTAAAGTTGGTGGAACACAACACTGTGGATGGATGCGGTCCTGATTCGGGTGCATGCTGACTGATGCATGCTGTTGTGGCTGTTTTTGAGGCGCCTAAAAAAGGATCCTAATTCTCTGTAAAGTTGGTGGAACACAACACTGTGGATGGATGCGGTCCTGATTCTGGTGCATGCTGACTGATGCATGCTGTTGTGGCTGTTTTTGAGGCGCCTAAAAAAGGATCCTAATTCTCTGTAAAGTTGGTGGAACACAACACTGTGGATGGATGCGGTCCTGATTCGGGTGCATGCTGACTGATGCATGCTGTTGTGGCTGTTTTTGAGGCGCCTAAAAAAGGATCCTAATTCTCTGTAAAGTTGGTGGAACACAACACTGTGGATGGATGCGGTCCTGATTCGGGTGCATGCTGACTGATGCATGCTGTTGTGGATGCTGTGCTGCGGATGCTGTGTGCTGTAGTGACATGCCACGTGGAGAAGAGTGTGCCGGATTTGCGCATGGGGAATTCTTCTGAGGCGGCTCAATATTCCTCTTGTGGTTGTGCTGTGGCTGTGTTGTGGTTGCTGTGCGTGCGTGGCAGTGACATGCCACGTGGAGGAGAGTGTGCCGGATGTGCTCATGGGGGATCCGACTCGCCTGGCGCAAGTCGTTGAGGAGCTCACAGGTGCGTGCCTGCCGGTTTGCTGGCGAGTCTTGTTGTGGCTGTGCTGGGCTTGCTGTGCTGTGCTTGCTGTGCTGTGCTTGCTGTGCTGTGCTTGCTGTGCTGTGCTGTGCTTGCTGTGCTGTGCTGTGCTTGCTCTGCTGTGCTGTGCTTGCTGTGCTTGCTGTGCTGTGCTTGCTGTGCTGTGCTTGCTGTGCTGTGCTTGCTGTGCTGTGCTTGCTGTGCTGTGCTGTGCTTGCTGTGCTGTGCGTGGACTGCAGTAACATGCCAAGTGGTGTGCCGGCTGTCCTTATGGGGGATTCTACTCGCCTGGCGCAAGTCTTCCTAATTGTCCACACTCACATCGCATGTGCCTAGTTGTCATTGACTCACCTGTCGCAAGTCATTCAAGAGCTCACAGGTGCGTACCGGTGCCTCATGTGAGACGTCTCTTCCTATTTGTCCACACTCGCATCGCATGTGCCTAGTTGTCATTGACTCGTTCTGAGTCGACTCATAAGTACACTCGCATGTGCCTAGTTGTCAATGACTCGCCTGGTTGCATCGGCTGCATCCCCCCCCCGCCTCGTTTTGAGTCGACTTAATAATTGTTGTATTTTTCTTTCCCCTTGAACTGAACCCCCTCCGCGTATGCAGCCCACGCCACGCACAAGGCTGCTGGTGGCTGTGTGGCCTTCCAGGACAGCCGCATCCCTCCCCCACTTCTTTTTGAGTCGACTAAAAAACCGTGTCTGTCTGGCTGTCCCCTTGAACTGAACTGCATCCGTCCCCCACTTCTTTTTGAGTCGACTCAGAAATCGTGTCTGTCTGTCCTGTTGTCCCCTTGCCCCCACCTCTCCCCTGCAGCCCACGCCAAGAGCAATGTTGCTGGTGGTCAAGTGGCCTTCCACGTCTGCTGCATCCCTCCCCCGCCTCTCCCACATGCCTCAACAAGCCGATTCCATCTCCCCTGCGCATCTGCTAGTGCCGCCGTTTCCCCTGCCTCACCACCTCCTCACGCCTCCTCCTCACACCACCTCCCTTCAGGCTCCCCCGCGTGGCACCAGCTGTCTGCTTGTGTGCGCCGCCTCCCACCTTCCACCCATCTGGCACGCCTCCCACAGCGCCACGTTGCAAGAGGCAACAGGGGGGGGGCAGGGCAGGCAGGGGGTACTTCTGAGCTGCCTCACGAGTCGCCCCTCACCCACCTCTCGCGTTTTCTCCAGCGCATGGGGGCTTCAGGCACAGGGGGTTCAAAGAAAGCAAGTGTGGGGGAGGAGAGTGAGGAGGCACAGGGTGGGAGTGGGCATGGGCGGTTGGAGGAGGAGGTGAGGGAGTGGGTGGAGGGAGTGTGTGCGGCAAGAGAGGAGGGCGAGTGGATGGTGGTGATGGCGTGTGAAGACTCGGGCGGTGGTATACTACCCGAGGAGCTGCGGTGGGTGCTGGACCCATATGGGGACTCCCACCACGCCGCTGCAGCACACCCTTCTCGTGCCAGTGTTGCGGGTTCAGCCGGCGGTGATGGCAACGACAACGACGGCGATGACACCAAGGTAAGTGGATGGATAGCTTTGCTCTTCACTTCTCTGCCTGCTGCCCTGCCACGGTGTGTCGAGCATCCTTATAACAACTGTCTCACCAGAGTGCTCAATCCCTCCCATCCTTGTCTGCGTTTCCCCTTCACTGTGCTCCTCCACACCCCACCGTCCACCAGGATACGTTCTTCCCCCACCTCTTCAGTCGCCGGGGCAGCAGGGCAGCAGCAACTGCCTCTCTCACGCACGACCAGAGGTCCGCTGCCCGCCCCCGCTGGACGCCCTACCCCGTCCGGTTCCTGCTCTCCACCGCGCTTGTGAGTGCCACCGCCCGCCTTGTGCTGCTTGTGCTGTACCTCCCCCAGCTGGCCCCCGCTGGACGCCCTACCCTGTCTGCTTCCTGCTCTCCACTGCTCTTGTGAGCGTCATCCTCCGCATATCATCCTCCGCATACCATCCTCCGCGTATCATCCTCCGCATACCATCCTCCGCATACCATCCTCCGCGTATCATCCTCCGCATACCATCCTCTGCATACCATCCTCCGCGTATCATCCTCCGCATACCATCCTCCGCATACCATCCTCCGCGTATCATCCTCCGCATACCATCCTCCGCATACCATCCTCCGCATATCATCCTCCGCATACCATCCTCCGCGTATCATCCTCCGCGTATCATCCTCCGCGTATCATCCTCCGCGTATCATCCTCCGCGTATCATCCTCCGCGTATCAACCTCCGCGTGTCATCCTCCGCGTATCATCCTCCGCGTATCATCCTCCGCGTATCATCCTCCGCGTATCATCCTCCGCGTATCATCCTCCGCGTGTCATCCTCCGCGTATCATCCTCCGCGTGTCATCCTCCGCGTATCATCCTCCGCGTATCATCCTCCGCGTATCATCCTCCGCGTGTCATCCTCCGCGTGTCATCCTCCGCGTGTCATCCTCCGCGTATCATCCTCCGCGTATCATCCTCCGCGTATCATCCTCCCCGTATCATCCTCCGCGTGTCATCCTCCGCGTGTCATCCTCCGCGTATCATCCTCCGCGTATCATCCTCTGCGTGTCATCCTCCGCGTGTCATCCTCCGCGTATCATCCTCCGCGTATCATCCTCCGCGTATCATCCTCCGCGTATCATCCTCCGCATATCATCCTCCGCGTATCATCCTCCGCGTGTCATCCTCCGCGTATCATCCTCCGCGTATTATCCTCCGCGTATCATCCTCCGCGTATCATCCTCCGCGTATCATCCTCCGCGTATCATCCTCCGCGTATCATCCTCCGCGTGTCATCCTCCGCGTATCATCCTCCGTGTATCATCCTCCGCGTATCATCCTCCGCGTATCATCCTCCGCGTGTCATCCTCCACGTATCATCCTCCGCGTATCATCCTCCGCGTATCATCCTCCGCGTGTCATCCTCCGCGTATCATCCTCCGCGTATCATCCTCCGCGTATCATCCTCCACGTATCATCCTCCGCGTATCATCCTCCGCGTATCATCCTCCGCGTGTCATCCTCCGCGTATCATCCTCCGCGTATCATCCTCCGCGTATCATCCTCCGCGTGTCATCCTCCGCGTATCATCCTCCGCGTATCATCCTCCGCGTATCATCCTCCGCGTATCATCCTCCGCGTATCATCCTCCGCGTATCATCCTCCGCGTATCATCCTCCGCGTATCATCCTCCGCGTATCATCCTCCGCGTGTCATCCTCCGCGTATCATCCTCCGCGTATCATCCTCCGCGTATCATCCTCCGCGTGTCATCCTCCGCGTATCATCCTCCGCGTATCATCCTCCGCGTATCATCCTCCGCGTATCATCCTCCGCGTATCATCCTCCGCGTATCATCCTCCGCGTGTCATCCTCCGCGTATCATCCTCCGCGTATCATCCTCCGCGTATCATCCTCCGCGTGTCATCCTCCGCGTGTCATCCTCCGCGTATCATCCTCCGCGTATCATCCTCCGCGTATCATCCTCCGCGTGTCATCCTCCTCGTGTCATCCTCCGCGTATCATCCTCCTCGTATCATCCTCCGCGTATCATCCTCCGCGTGTCATCCTCCGCGTGTCATCCTCCGCGTATCATCCTCCGCGTATCATCCTCCGCGTATCATCCTCCGCGTATCATCCTCCGCGTATCATCCTCCGCGTGTCATCCTCCGCGTATCATCCTCCGCGTATCATCCTCCGCGTATCATCCTCCGCGTGTCATCCTCCGCGTATCATCCTCCGCGTATCATCCTCCGCGTATCATCCTCCGCGTGTCATCCTCCGCGTATCATCCTCCGCGTATCATCGTCCGCGTATCATCCTCCGCGTATCATCCTCCGCGTGTCATCCTCCGCGTATCATCCTCCGAGTATCATCCTCCGCGTGTCATCCTCCGCGTATCATCCTCCGCGTATCATCCTCCGCGTATCATCCTCCGCGTATCATCCTCCGCGTATCATCCTCCGCGTGTCATCCTCCGCGTGTCATCCTCCGCGTATCATCCTCCGCGTATCATCCTCCGCGTATCATCCTCCGCGTGTCATCCTCCTCGTGTCATCCTCCGCGTATCATCCTCCTCGTATCATCCTCCGCGTATCATCCTCCGCGTGTCATCCTCCGCGTGTCATCCTCCGCGTATCATCCTCCGCGTATCATCCTCCGCGTATCATCCTCCGCGTATCATCCTCCGCGTATCATCCTCCGCGTGTCATCCTCCGCGTATCATCCTCCGCGTATCATCCTCCGCGTATCATCCTCCGCGTGTCATCCTCCGCGTATCATCCTCCGCGTATCATCCTCCGCGTATCATCCTCCGCGTGTCATCCTCCGCGTATCATCCTCCGCGTATCATCGTCCGCGTATCATCCTCCGCGTATCATCCTCCGCGTGTCATCCTCCGCGTATCATCCTCCGAGTATCATCCTCCGCGTGTCATCCTCCGCGTATCATCCTCCGCGTATCATCCTCCGCGTATCATCCTCCGCGTATCATCCTCCGCGTATCATCCTCCGCGTATCATCCTCCACGTATCATCCTCCGCGTATCATCCTCCGCGTATCATCCTCCGCGTGTCATCCTCCGCGTATCATCCTCCGCGTATCATCCTCCGCGTATCATCCTCCGCGTGTCATCCTCCGCGTATCATCCTCCGCGTATCATCCTCCGCGTATCATCCTCCGCGTATCATCCTCCGCGTATCATCCTCCGCGTATCATCCTCCGCGTATCATCCTCCGCGTATCATCCTCCGCGTATCATCCTCCGCGTGTCATCCTCCGCGTATCATCCTCCGCGTATCATCCTCCGCGTATCATCCTCCGCGTGTCATCCTCCGCGTATCATCCTCCGCGTATCATCCTCCGCGTATCATCCTCCGCGTATCATCCTCCGCGTATCATCCTCCGCGTATCATCCTCCGCGTGTCATCCTCCGCGTATCATCCTCCGCGTATCATCCTCCGCGTATCATCCTCCGCGTGTCATCCTCCGCGTGTCATCCTCCGCGTATCATCCTCCGCGTATCATCCTCCGCGTATCATCCTCCGCGTGTCATCCTCCTCGTGTCATCCTCCGCGTATCATCCTCCTCGTATCATCCTCCGCGTATCATCCTCCGCGTGTCATCCTCCGCGTGTCATCCTCCGCGTATCATCCTCCGCGTATCATCCTCCGCGTATCATCCTCCGCGTATCATCCTCCGCGTATCATCCTCCGCGTGTCATCCTCCGCGTATCATCCTCCGCGTATCATCCTCCGCGTATCATCCTCCGCGTGTCATCCTCCGCGTATCATCCTCCGCGTATCATCCTCCGCGTATCATCCTCCGCGTGTCATCCTCCGCGTATCATCCTCCGCGTATCATCGTCCGCGTATCATCCTCCGCGTATCATCCTCCGCGTGTCATCCTCCGCGTATCATCCTCCGAGTATCATCCTCCGCGTGTCATCCTCCGCGTATCATCCTCCGCGTATCATCCTCCGCGTATCATCCTCCGCGTATCATCCTCCGCGTGTCATCCTCCGCGTATCATCCTCCGCGTATCATCCTCCGCGTATCATCCTCCGCGTGTCATCCTCCGCGTATCATCCTCCGCGTATCATCCTCCGCGTATCATCCTCCGCGTATCATCCTCCGCGTATCATCCTCCGCGTATCATCCTCCGCGTGTCATCCTCCGCATATCATCCTCCGCGTATCATCCTCCGCGTATCATCCTCCGCGTGTCATCCTCCGCGTGTCATCCTCCGCGTATCATCCTCCGCGTATCATCCTCCGCGTATCATCCTCCGCGTGTCATCCTCCTCGTGTCATCCTCCGCGTATCATCCTCCGCGTATCATCCTCCGCGTATCATCCTCCGCGTGTCATCCTCCGCGTGTCATCCTCCGCGTATCATCCTCCGCGTATCATCCTCCGCGTATCATCCTCCACGTATCATCCTCCGCGTATCATCCTCCGCGTGTCATCCTCCGCGTATCATCCTCCGCGTATCATCCTCCGCGTATCATCCTCCGCGTGTCATCCTCCGCGTATCATCCTCCGCGTATCATCCTCCGCGTATCATCCTCCGCGTGTCATCCTCCGCGTATCATCCTCCGCGTATCATCCTCCGCGTATCATCCTCCGCGTATCATCCTCCGCGTGTCATCCTCCGCGTATCATCCTCCGAGTATCATCCTCCGCATATCATCCTCCGCGTATCATCCTCCGCGTATCATCCTCCGCGTATCATCCTCCGCGTATCATCCTCCGCGTATCATCCTCCGCGTATCATCCTCCGCGTATCATCCTCCGCGTATCATCCTCCGCGTATCATCCTCCACGTATCATCCTCCGCGTGTCATCCTCCGCGTATCATCCTCCGCGTATCATCCTCCGCGTATCATCCTCCGCGTATCATCCTCCGCGTATCATCCTCCGCGTATCATCCTCCGCGTATCATCCTCCGCGTGTCATCCTCCGCGTATCATCCTCCGCGTATCATCCTCCGCGTATCATCTTCCGCGTGTCATCCTCCGCGTATCATCCTCCGCGTATCATCCTCCGCGTATCATCCTCCGCGTATCATCCTCCGCGTATCATCCTCCGCGTATCATCCTCCGCGTGTCATCCTCCGCGTATCATCCTCCGCGTATCATCCTCCGCGTATCATCCTCCGCGTGTCATCCTCCGCGTGTCATCCTCCGCGTATCATCCTCCGCGTATCATCCTCCGCGTATCATCCTCCGCGTGTCATCCTCCTCGTGTCATCCTCCGCGTATCATCCTCCGCGTATCATCCTCCGCGTATCATCCTCCGCGTGTCATCCTCCGCGTGTCATCCTCCGTGTATCATCCTCCGTGTATCATCCTCCGCGTATCATCCTCCGCGTATCATCCTCCGCGTGTCATCCTCCGCGTATCATCCTCCGCGTATCATCCTCCGCGTATCATCCTCCGCGTGTCATCCTCCGCGTGTCATCCTCCGCGTATCATCCTCCGCGTATTATCCTCCGCGTGTCATCCTCCGCGTATCATCCTCTGCGTATCATCCTCCGCGTATCATCCTCCGCGTGTCATCCTCCGCGTGTCATCCTCCGCGTATCATCCTCCGCGTATCATCCTCCGCGTATCATCCTCCGCGTATCATCCTCCGCGTATCATCCTCCGCGTATCATCCTCCGCGTGTCATCCTCCGCGTATCATCCTCTGCGTATCATCCTCTGCGTATCATCCTCCGCGTGTCATCCTCCGCGTATCATCCTCCGCGTATCATCCTCCGCGTGTCATCCTCCGCGTGTCATCCTCCGCGTATCATCCTCCGCGTGTCATCCTCCGCGTATCATCCTCCGCGTATCATCCTCCGCGTATCATCCTCCGCGTGTCATCCTCCGCGTATCATCCTCCGCGTATCATCCTCCGCGTATCATCCTCCGCGTATCATCCTCCGCGTATCATCCTCCGCGTATCATCCTCCGCGTATCATCCTCCGCGTATCATCCTCCGTGTATCATCCTCCGCGTATCATCCTCCGCGTATCATCCTCCGCGTGTCATCCTCCGCGTGTCATCCTCCGTGTATCATCCTCCGTGTATCATCCTCCGCGTATCATCCTCCGCGTATCATCCTCCGCGTGTCATCCTCCGCGTATCATCCTCCGCGTATCATCCTCCGCGTATCATCCTCCGCGTGTCATCCTCCGCGTGTCATCCTCCGCGTATCATCCTCCGCGTATTATCCTCTGCGTGTCATCCTCCGCGTATCATCCTCTGCGTATCATCCTCCGCGTCTCATCCTCCGCGTGTCATCCTCCGCGTGTCATCCTCCGCGTATCATCCTCCGCGTATCATCCTCCGCGTATCATCCTCCGCGTATCATCCTCCGCGTATCATCCTCCGCGTGTCATCCTCCGCGTATCATCCTCTGCGTATCATCCTCTGCGTATCATCCTCCGCGTGTCATCCTCCGCTTATCATCCTCCGCGTATCATCCTCCGCGTGTCATCCTCCGCGTGTCATCCTCCGCGTATCATCCTCCGCGTGTCATCCTCCGCGTATCATCCTCCGCGTATCATCCTCCGCGTATCATCCTCCGCGTGTCATCCTCCGCGTGTCATCCTCCGCGTATCATCCTCCGCGTATCATCCTCCGCGTGTCATCTTCCGCGTATCATCCTCCGCGTATCATCCTCCGCGTATCATCCTCCGCGTATCATCCTCCGCGTGTCATCCTCCGCGTATCATCCTCCGCGTATCATCCTCCGCGTATCATCCTCCGCGTATCATCCTCCGCGTATCATCCTCCGCGTATCATCCTCCGCGTATCATCCTCCGCGTGTCATCCTCCGCGTATCATCCTCCGCGTATCATCCTCCGCGTATCATCCTCCGCGTGTCATCCTCCGCGTATCATCCTCCGCGTATCATCCTCCGCGTATCATCCTCCGCGTATCATCCTCCGCGTGTCATCCTCCGCGTATCATCCTCCGCGTATCATCCTCCGCGTATCATCCTCCGCGTGTCATCCTCCGCGTATCATCCTCCGCGTATCATCCTCCGCGTATCATCCTCCGCGTGTCATCCTCCGCGTATCATCCTCCGCGTATCATCCTCCGCGTATCATCCTCCGCGTATCATCCTCCGCGTATCATCCTCCGCGTATCATCCTCCGCGTGTCATCCTCCGCATATCATCCTCCGCGTATCATCCTCCGCGTATCATCCTCCGCGTGTCATCCTCCGCGTGTCATCCTCCGCGTATCATCCTCCGCGTATCATCCTCCGCGTATCATCCTCCGCGTGTCATCCTCCTCGTGTCATCCTCCGCGTATCATCCTCCGCGTATCATCCTCCGCGTATCATCCTCCGCGTGTCATCCTCCGCGTGTCATCCTCCGCGTATCATCCTCCGCGTATCATCCTCCGCGTATCATCCTCCACGTATCATCCTCCGCGTATCATCCTCCGCGTGTCATCCTCCGCGTATCATCCTCCGCGTATCATCCTCCGCGTATCATCCTCCGCGTGTCATCCTCCGCGTATCATCCTCCGCGTATCATCCTCCGCGTATCATCCTCCGCGTGTCATCCTCCGCGTATCATCCTCCGCGTATCATCCTCCGCGTATCATCCTCCGCGTATCATCCTCCGCGTGTCATCCTCCGCGTATCATCCTCCGAGTATCATCCTCCGCATATCATCCTCCGCGTATCATCCTCCGCGTATCATCCTCCGCGTATCATCCTCCGCGTATCATCCTCCGCGTATCATCCTCCGCGTATCATCCTCCGCGTATCATCCTCCGCGTATCATCCTCCGCGTATCATCCTCCACGTATCATCCTCCGCGTGTCATCCTCCGCGTATCATCCTCCGCGTATCATCCTCCGCGTATCATCCTCCGCGTATCATCCTCCGCGTATCATCCTCCGCGTATCATCCTCCGCGTATCATCCTCCGCGTGTCATCCTCCGCGTATCATCCTCCGCGTATCATCCTCCGCGTATCATCTTCCGCGTGTCATCCTCCGCGTATCATCCTCCGCGTATCATCCTCCGCGTATCATCCTCCGCGTATCATCCTCCGCGTATCATCCTCCGCGTATCATCCTCCGCGTGTCATCCTCCGCGTATCATCCTCCGCGTATCATCCTCCGCGTATCATCCTCCGCGTGTCATCCTCCGCGTGTCATCCTCCGCGTATCATCCTCCGCGTATCATCCTCCGCGTATCATCCTCCGCGTGTCATCCTCCTCGTGTCATCCTCCGCGTATCATCCTCCGCGTATCATCCTCCGCGTATCATCCTCCGCGTGTCATCCTCCGCGTGTCATCCTCCGTGTATCATCCTCCGTGTATCATCCTCCGCGTATCATCCTCCGCGTATCATCCTCCGCGTGTCATCCTCCGCGTATCATCCTCCGCGTATCATCCTCCGCGTATCATCCTCCGCGTGTCATCCTCCGCGTGTCATCCTCCGCGTATCATCCTCCGCGTATTATCCTCCGCGTGTCATCCTCCGCGTATCATCCTCTGCGTATCATCCTCCGCGTATCATCCTCCGCGTGTCATCCTCCGCGTGTCATCCTCCGCGTATCATCCTCCGCGTATCATCCTCCGCGTATCATCCTCCGCGTATCATCCTCCGCGTATCATCCTCCGCGTATCATCCTCCGCGTGTCATCCTCCGCGTATCATCCTCTGCGTATCATCCTCTGCGTATCATCCTCCGCGTGTCATCCTCCGCGTATCATCCTCCGCGTATCATCCTCCGCGTGTCATCCTCCGCGTGTCATCCTCCGCGTATCATCCTCCGCGTGTCATCCTCCGCGTATCATCCTCCGCGTATCATCCTCCGCGTATCATCCTCCGCGTGTCATCCTCCGCGTATCATCCTCCGCGTATCATCCTCCGCGTATCATCCTCCGCGTATCATCCTCCGCGTATCATCCTCCGCGTATCATCCTCCGCGTATCATCCTCCGCGTATCATCCTCCGTGTATCATCCTCCGCGTATCATCCTCCGCGTATCATCCTCCGCGTGTCATCCTCCGCGTGTCATCCTCCGTGTATCATCCTCCGTGTATCATCCTCCGCGTATCATCCTCCGCGTATCATCCTCCGCGTGTCATCCTCCGCGTATCATCCTCCGCGTATCATCCTCCGCGTATCATCCTCCGCGTGTCATCCTCCGCGTGTCATCCTCCGCGTATCATCCTCCGCGTATTATCCTCTGCGTGTCATCCTCCGCGTATCATCCTCTGCGTATCATCCTCCGCGTCTCATCCTCCGCGTGTCATCCTCCGCGTGTCATCCTCCGCGTATCATCCTCCGCGTATCATCCTCCGCGTATCATCCTCCGCGTATCATCCTCCGCGTATCATCCTCCGCGTGTCATCCTCCGCGTATCATCCTCTGCGTATCATCCTCTGCGTATCATCCTCCGCGTGTCATCCTCCGCTTATCATCCTCCGCGTATCATCCTCCGCGTGTCATCCTCCGCGTGTCATCCTCCGCGTATCATCCTCCGCGTGTCATCCTCCGCGTATCATCCTCCGCGTATCATCCTCCGCGTATCATCCTCCGCGTGTCATCCTCCGCGTGTCATCCTCCGCGTATCATCCTCCGCGTATCATCCTCCGCGTGTCATCTTCCGCGTATCATCCTCCGCGTATCATCCTCCGCGTATCATCCTCCGCGTATCATCCTCCGCGTGTCATCCTCCGCGTATCATCCTCCGCGTATCATCCTCCGCGTATCATCCTCCGCGTATCATCCTCCGCGTATCATCCTCCGCGTATCATCCTCCGCGTATCATCCTCCGCGTGTCATCCTCCGCGTATCATCCTCCGCGTATCATCCTCCGCGTATCATCCTCCGCGTATCATCCTCCGCGTATCATCCTCCGCGTATCATCCTCCGCGTATCATCCTCCGCGTATCATCCTCCGCGTGTCATCCTCCGCGTATCATCCTCCGCGTATCATCCTCCGCGTATCATCCTCCGCGTGTCATCCTCCGCGTATCATCCTCCGCGTATCATCCTCCGCGTATCATCCTCCGCGTATCATCCTCCGCGTATCATCCTCCGCGTATCATCCTCCGCGTGTCATCCTCCGCATATCATCCTCCGCGTATCATCCTCCGCGTATCATCCTCCGCGTGTCATCCTCCGCGTGTCATCCTCCGCGTGTCATCCTCCGCGTATCATCCTCCGCGTATCATCCTCCGCGTGTCATCCTCCTCGTGTCATCCTCCGCGTATCATCCTCCGCGTATCATCCTCCGCGTATCATCCTCCGCGTGTCATCCTCCGCGTGTCATCCTCCGCGTATCATCCTCCGCGTATCATCCTCCGCGTATCATCCTCCACGTATCATCCTCCGCGTATCATCCTCCGCGTGTCATCCTCCGCGTATCATCCTCCGCGTATCATCCTCCGCGTATCATCCTCCGCGTGTCATCCTCCGCGTATCATCCTCCGCGTATCATCCTCCGCGTATCATCCTCCGCGTAGTCATCCTCCGCGTATCATCCTCCGCGTATCATCCTCCGCGTATCATCCTCCGCGTATCATCCTCCGCGTATCATCCTCCGCGTGTCATCCTCCGCGTATCATCCTCCGAGTATCATCCTCCGCATATCATCCTCCGCGTATCATCCTCCGCGTATCATCCTCCGCGTATCATCCTCCGCGTATCATCCTCCGCGTATCATCCTCCGCGTATCATCCTCCGCGTATCATCCTCCGCGTATCATCCTCCGCGTATCATCCTCCACGTATCATCCTCCGCGTGTCATCCTCCGCGTATCATCCTCCGCGTATCATCCTCCGCGTATCATCCTCCGCGTATCATCCTCCGCGTATCATCCTCCGCGTATCATCCTCCGCGTATCATCCTCCGCGTGTCATCCTCCGCGTATCATCCTCCGCGTATCATCCTCCGCGTATCATCCTCCGCGTGTCATCCTCCGCGTATCATCCTCCGCGTATCATCCTCCGCGTATCATCCTCCGCGTATCATCCTCCGCGTATCATCCTCCGCGTATCATCCTCCGCGTGTCATCCTCCGCGTATCATCCTCCGCGTATCATCCTCCGCGTATCATCCTCCGCGTATCATCCTCCGCGTATCATCCTCCGCGTATCATCCTCCGCGTATCATCCTCCGCGTATCATCCTCCGCGTGTCATCCTCCGCGTATCATCCTCCGCGTATCATCCTCCGCGTATCATCCTCCGCGTGTCATCCTCCGCGTATCATCCTCCGCGTATCATCCTCCGCGTATCATCCTCCGCGTATCATCCTCCGCGTATCATCCTCCGCGTATCATCCTCCGCGTGTCATCCTCCGCATATCATCCTCCGCGTATCATCCTCCGCGTATCATCCTCCGCGTGTCATCCTCCGCGTGTCATCCTCCGCGTATCATCCTCCGCGTATCATCCTCCGCGTATCATCCTCCGCGTGTCATCCTCCTCGTGTCATCCTCCGCGTATCATCCTCCGCGTATCATCCTCCGCGTATCATCCTCCGCGTGTCATCCTCCGCGTGTCATCCTCCGCGTATCATCCTCCGCGTATCATCCTCCGCGTATCATCCTCCACGTATCATCCTCCGCGTATCATCCTCCGCGTGTCATCCTCCGCGTATCATCCTCCGCGTATCATCCTCCGCGTATCATCCTCCGCGTGTCATCCTCCGCGTATCATCCTCCGCGTATCATCCTCCGCGTATCATCCTCCGCGTGTCATCCTCCGCGTATCATCCTCCGCGTATCATCCTCCGCGTATCATCCTCCGCGTATCATCCTCCGCGTGTCATCCTCCGCGTATCATCCTCCGAGTATCATCCTCCGCATATCATCCTCCGCGTATCATCCTCCGCGTATCATCCTCCGCGTATCATCCTCCGCGTATCATCCTCCGCGTATCATCCTCCGCGTATCATCCTCCGCGTATCATCCTCCGCGTATCATCCTCCGCGTATCATCCTCCACGTATCATCCTCCGCGTGTCATCCTCCGCGTATCATCCTCCGCGTATCATCCTCCGCGTATCATCCTCCGCGTATCATCCTCCGCGTATCATCCTCCGCGTATCATCCTCCGCGTATCATCCTCCGCGTGTCATCCTCCGCGTATCATCCTCCGCGTATCATCCTCCGCGTATCATCTTCCGCGTGTCATCCTCCGCGTATCATCCTCCGCGTATCATCCTCCGCGTATCATCCTCCGCGTATCATCCTCCGCGTATCATCCTCCGCGTATCATCCTCCGCGTGTCATCCTCCGCGTATCATCCTCCGCGTATCATCCTCCGCGTATCATCCTCCGCGTGTCATCCTCCGCGTGTCATCCTCCGCGTATCATCCTCCGCGTATCATCCTCCGCGTATCATCCTCCGCGTGTCATCCTCCTCGTGTCATCCTCCGCGTATCATCCTCCGCGTATCATCCTCCGCGTATCATCCTCCGCGTGTCATCCTCCGCGTGTCATCCTCCGTGTATCATCCTCCGTGTATCATCCTCCGCGTATCATCCTCCGCGTATCATCCTCCGCGTGTCATCCTCCGCGTATCATCCTCCGCGTATCATCCTCCGCGTATCATCCTCCGCGTGTCATCCTCCGCGTATCATCCTCCGCGTATCATCCTCCGCGTATCATCCTCCGCGTATCATCCTCCGCGTATCATCCTCCGCGTATCATCCTCCGCGTATCATCCTCCGCGTATCATCCTCCGCGTGTCATCCTCCGCGTATCATCCTCCGCGTATCATCCTCCGCGTGTCATCCTCCGCGTGTCATCCTCCGCGTATCATCCTCCGCGTATTATCCTCCGCGTGTCATCCTCCGCGTATCATCCTCTGCGTATCATCCTCCGCGTATCATCCTCCGCGTGTCATCCTCCGCGTGTCATCCTCCGCGTATCATCCTCCGCGTATCATCCTCCGCGTATCATCCTCCGCGTATCATCCTCCGCGTATCATCCTCCGCGTGTCATCCTCCGCGTATCATCCTCTGCGTATCATCCTCTGCGTATCATCCTCCGCGTGTCATCCTCCGCGTATCATCCTCCGCGTATCATCCTCCGCGTGTCATCCTCCGCGTGTCATCCTCCGCGTATCATCCTCCGCGTGTCATCCTCCGCGTATCATCCTCCGCGTATCATCCTCCGCGTATCATCCTCCGCGTGTCATCCTCCGCGTGTCATCCTCCGCGTATCATCCTCCGCGTATCATCCTCCGCGTGTCATCTTCCGCGTATCATCCTCCGCGTATCATCCTCCGCGTGTCATCCTCCGCGTATCATCCTCCGCGTATCATCCTCCGCGTATCATCCTCCGCGTATCATCCTCCGCGTATCATCCTCCGCGTATCATCCTCCGCGTATCATCCTCCGCGTGTCATCCTCCGCGTATCATCCTCCGCGTATCATCCTCCGCGTATCATCCTCCGCGTGTCATCCTCCGCGTATCATCCTCCGCGTATCATCCTCCGCGTATCATCCTCCGCGTATCATCCTCCGCGTATCATCCTCCGCGTATCATCCTCCGCGTGTCATCCTCCGCGTATCATCCTCCGCGTATCATCCTCCGCGTATCATCCTCCGCGTGTCATCCTCCGCGTGTCATCCTCCGCGTATCATCCTCCGCGTATCATCCTCCGCGTATCATCCTCCGCGTGTCATCCTCCTCGTGTCATCCTCCGCGTATCATCCTCCGCGTATCATCCTCCGCGTATCATCCTCCGCGTGTCATCCTCCGCGTGTCATCCTCCGCGTATCATCCTCCGCGTATCATCCTCCGCGTATCATCCTCCACGTATCATCCTCCGCGTATCATCCTCCGCGTGTCATCCTCCGCGTATCATCCTCCGCGTATCATCCTCCGCGTATCATCCTCCGCGTGTCATCCTCCGCGTGTCATCCTCCGCGTATCATCCTCCGCGTATTATCCTCCGCGTGTCATCCTCCGCGTATCATCCTCTGCGTATCATCCTCCGCGTATCATCCTCCGCGTGTCATCCTCCGCGTGTCATCCTCCGCGTATCATCCTCCGCGTATCATCCTCCGCGTATCATCCTCCGCGTATCATCCTCCGCGTATCATCCTCCGCGTGTCATCCTCCGCGTATCATCCTCCGCGTATCATCCTCCGCGTATCATCCTCCGCGTGTCATCCTCCGCGTGTCATCCTCCGCGTATCATCCTCCGCGTATCATCCTCCGCGTATCATCCTCCGCGTGTCATCCTCCTCGTGTCATCCTCCGCGTATCATCCTCCGCGTGTCATCCTCCGCGTATCATCCTCCGCGTATCATCCTCCGCGTATTATCCTCCGCGTGTCATCCTCCGCGTATCATCCTCTGCGTATCATCCTCCGCGTATCATCCTCCGCGTGTCATCCTCCGCGTATCATCCTCCGCGTATCATCCTCCGCGTATCATCCTCCGCGTATCATCCTCCGCGTATCATCCTCCGCGTATCATCCTCCGCGTATCATCCTCTGCGTATCATCCTCCGCGTATCATCCTCCGCGTATCATCCTCCGCGTATCATCCTCCGCGTGTCATCCTCCGCGTGTCATCCTCCGTGTATCATCCTCCGTGTATCATCCTCCGCGTATCATCCTCCGCGTATCATCCTCCGCGTGTCATCCTCCGCGTATCATCCTCCGCGTATCATCCTCCGCGTATCATCCTCCGCGTGTCATCCTCCGCGTATCATCCTCCGCGTATCATCCTCCGCGTATCATCCTCCGCGTATCATCCTCCGCGTGTCATCCTCCGCGTATCATCCTCCGCGTATCATCCTCCGCGTATTATCCTCCGCGTGTCATCCTCCGCGTATCATCCTCTGCGTATCATCCTCCGCGTATCATCCTCCGCGTGTCATCCTCCGCGTATCATCCTCCGCGTATCATCCTCCGCGTATCATCCTCCGCGTATCATCCTCCGCGTATCATCCTCCGCGTATCATCCTCCGCGTATCATCCTCCGCGTATCATCCTCCGCGTATCATCCTCCGCGTATCATCCTCCGCGTGTCATCCTCCGCGTGTCATCCTCCGTGTATCATCCTCCGTGTATCATCCTCCGCGTATCATCCTCCGCGTATCATCCTCCGCGTGTCATCCTCCGCGTATCATCCTCCGCGTATCATCCTCCGCGTATCATCCTCCGCGTGTCATCCTCCGCGTGTCATCCTCCGCGTATCATCCTCCGCGTATTATCCTCCGCGTGTCATCCTCCGCGTATCATCCTCTGCGTATCATCCTCCGCGTATCATCCTCCGCGTGTCATCCTCCGCGTGTCATCCTCCGCGTATCATCCTCCGCGTATCATCCTCCGCGTATCATCCTCCGCGTATCATCCTCCGCGTATCATCCTCCGCGTGTCATCCTCCGCGTATCATCCTCCGCGTATCATCCTCCGCGTATCATCCTCCGCGTGTCATCCTCCGCGTGTCATCCTCCGCGTATCATCCTCCGCGTATCATCCTCCGCGTATCATCCTCCGCGTGTCATCCTCCTCGTGTCATCCTCCGCGTATCATCCTCCGCGTATCATCCTCCGCGTATCATCCTCCGCGTGTCATCCTCCGCGTGTCATCCTCCGCGTATCATCCTCCGCGTATTATCCTCCGCGTGTCATCCTCCGCGTATCATCCTCTGCGTATCATCCTCCGCGTATCATCCTCCGCGTGTCATCCTCCGCGTGTCATCCTCCGCGTATCATCCTCCGCGTATCATCCTCCGCGTATCATCCTCCGCGTATCATCCTCCGCGTATCATCCTCCGCGTGTCATCCTCCGCGTATCATCCTCTGCGTATCATCCTCTGCGTATCATCCTCCGCGTGTCATCCTCCGCGTATCATCCTCCGCGTATCATCCTCCGCGTGTCATCCTCCGCGTGTCATCCTCCGCGTATCATCCTCCGCGTGTCATCCTCCGCGTATCATCCTCCGCGTATCATCCTCCGCGTATCATCCTCCGCGTGTCATCCTCCGCGTGTCATCCTCCGCGTATCATCCTCCGCGTATCATCCTCCGCGTGTCATCTTCCGCGTATCATCCTCCGCGTATCATCCTCCGCGTATCATCCTCCGCGTATCATCCTCCGCGTGTCATCCTCCGCGTATCATCCTCCGCGTATCATCCTCCGCGTATCATCCTCCGCGTATCATCCTCCGCGTATCATCCTCCGCGTATCATCCTCCGCGTATCATCCTCCGCGTGTCATCCTCCGCGTATCATCCTCCGCGTATCATCCTCCGCGTGTCATCCTCCGCGTGTCATCCTCCGCGTATCATCCTCCGCGTATCATCCTCCGCGTATCATCCTCCGCGTGTCATCCTCCTCGTGTCATCCTCCGCGTATCATCCTCCGCGTATCATCCTCCGCGTATCATCCTCCGCGTGTCATCCTCCGCGTGTCATCCTCCGCGTATCATCCTCCGCGTATCATCCTCCGCGTATCATCCTCCGCGTATCATCCTCCGCGTATCATCCTCCGCGTGTCATCCTCCGCGTATCATCCTCCGCGTATCATCCTCCGCGTATCATCCTCCGCGTGTCATCCTCCGCGTGTCATCCTCCGCGTATCATCCTCCGCGTATCATCCTCCGCGTATCATCCTCCGCGTGTCATCCTCCTCGTGTCATCCTCCGCGTATCATCCTCCGCGTATCATCCTCCGCGTATCATCCTCCGCGTGTCATCCTCCGCGTGTCATCCTCCGCGTATCATCCTCCGCGTATCATCCTCCGCGTATCATCCTCCACGTATCATCCTCCGCGTATCATCCTCCGCGTGTCATCCTCCGCGTATCATCCTCCGCGTATCATCCTCCGCGTATCATCCTCCGCGTGTCATCCTCCGCGTATCATCCTCCGCGTATCATCCTCCGCGTATCATCCTCCGCGTGTCATCCTCCGCGTATCATCCTCCGCGTATCATCCTCCGCGTATCATCCTCCGCGTATCATCCTCCGCGTGTCATCCTCCGCGTATCATCCTCCGCGTATCATCCTCCGCGTATCATCCTCCGCGTATCATCCTCCGCGTATCATCCTCCGCGTGTCATCCTCCGCGTATCATCCTCCGCGTATCATCCTCCGCGTATCATCCTCCGCGTGTCATCCTCCGCGTATCATCCTCCGCGTATCATCCTCCGCGTGTCATCCTCCGCGTGTCATCCTCCGCGTATCATCCTCCGCGTGTCATCCTCCGCGTGTCATCCTCCGCGTATCATCCTCCGCGTATTATCCTCCGCGTGTCATCCTCCGCGTGTCATCCTCTGCATATCATCCTCCGCGTATCATCCTCCGCGTGTCATCCTCCGCGTATCATCCTCCGCGTATCATCCTCCGCGTATCATCCTCCGCGTATCATCCTCCGCGTGTCATCCTCCGCGTATCATCCTCCGAGTATCATCCTCCGCGTATCATCCTCCGCGTATCATCCTCCGCGTATCATCCTCCGCGTATCATCCTCCGCGTATCATCCTCCGCGTATCATCCTCCGCGTATCATCCTCCGCGTATCATCCTCCGCGTATCATCCTCCACGTATCATCCTCCGCGTGTCATCCTCCGCGTATCATCCTCCGCGTATCATCCTCCGCGTATCATCCTCCGCGTATCATCCTCCGCGTGTCATCCTCCGCGTATCATCCTCCGCGTATCATCCTCCGCGTATCATCCTCCGCGTATCATCCTCCGCGTATCATCCTCTGCGTATCATCCTCTGCGTATCATCCTCTGCGTATCATCCTCCGCGTATCATCCTCCGCGTATCATCCTCCGCGTATCATCCTCCGCGTATCATCCTCCGCGTATCATCCTCCGCGTATCATCCTCCGTGTGTCATCCTCCGCGTGTCATCCTCCGCGTATCATCCTCTGCGTATCATCCTCTGCGTATCATCCTCCGCGTGTCATCCTCCGTGTGTCATCCTCCGCGTATCATCCTCCGCGTATCATCCTCCGCGTGTCATCCTCCGCGTATCATCCTCCGCGTATCATCCTCCGCGTATCATCCTCCGCGTGTCATCCTCCGCGTATCATCCTCCGCGTATCATCCTCCGCGTATCATCCTCCGCGTGTCATCCTCCGCGTGTCATCCTCCGCGTATCATCCTCCGCGTGTCATCCTCCGCGTGTCATCCTCCGAGTATCATCCTCCGAGTATCATCCTCCGCGTATCATCCTCCGAGTATCATCCTCCGCGTATCATCCTCCGCGTATCATCCTCCGCGTATCATCCTCCGCGTATCATCCTCCGCGTATCATCCTCCGCGTGTCATCCTCCGCGTATCATCCTCCGCGTATCATCCTCCGCGTGTCATCCTCCGTGTGTCATCCTCCGCGTATCATCCTCCGCGTATCATCCTCCGCGTGTCATCCTCCGCGTATCATCCTCCGCGTATCATCCTCCGCGTATCATCCTCCGCGTGTCATCCTCCGCGTATCATCCTCCGCGTATCATCCTCCGCGTATCATCCTCCGCGTGTCATCCTCCGCGTGTCATCCTCCGCGTATCATCCTCCGCGTGTCATCCTCCGCGTGTCATCCTCCGAGTATCATCCTCCGAGTATCATCCTCCGCGTATCATCCTCCGAGTATCATCCTCCGCGTATCATCCTCCGCGTATCATCCTCCGCGTATCATCCTCCGCGTATCATCCTCCGCGTATCATCCTCCGCGTATCATCCTCCGCGTATCATCCTCCGCGTATCATCCTCCGCGTATCATCCTCCGCGTATCATCCTCCGCGTATCATCCTCCGTGTATCATCCTCCGCGTATCATCCTCCGCGTATCATCCTCCGCGTGTCATCCTCCGCGTATCATCCTCCGCGTATCATCCTCCGCGTATCATCCTCCGCGTATCATCCTCCGCGTGTCATCCTCCGCGTATCATCCTCCGCGTATCATCCTCCGCGTATCATCCTCCGCGTGTCATCCTCCGCGTGTCATCCTCCGCGTATCATCCTCCGCGTATTATCCTCCGCGTGTCATCCTCCGCGTGTCATCCTCTGCATATCATCCTCCGCGTATCATCCTCCGCGTGTCATCCTCCGCGTGTCATCCTCCGCGTATCATCCTCCGCGTATCATCCTCCGCGTATCATCCTCCGCGTATCATCCTCCGCGTATCATCCTCCGCGTATCATCCTCCGCGTATCATCCTCCGCGTATCATCCTCCGCGTATCATCCTCCGCGTATCATCCTCCGCGTGTCATCCTCCGCGTGTCATCCTCCGCGTGTCATCCTCCGTGTATCATCCTCCGCGTATCATCCTCCGCGTATCATCCTCCGCGTGTCATCCTCCGCGTGTCATCCTCCGCGTATCATCCTCCGCGTATCATCCTCCGCGTGTCATCCTCCGCGTGTCATCCTCCGCGTATCATCCTCCGCGTATTATCCTCCGCGTGTCATCCTCCGCGTATCATCCTCTGCGTATCATCCTCCGCGTATCATCCTCCGCGTGTCATCCTCCGCGTGTCATCCTCCGCGTGTCATCCTCCGCGTATCATCCTCCGCGTATCATCCTCCGCGTATCATCCTCCGCGTATCATCCTCCGCGTGTCATCCTCCGCGTATCATCCTCCGCGTATCATCCTCCGCGTGTCATCCTCCGCGTGTCATCCTCCGCGTGTCATCCTCCGCGTATCATCCTCCGCGTATCATCCTCCGCGTATCATCCTCCGCGTGTCATCCTCCTCGTGTCATCCTCCGCGTATCATCCTCCGCGTATCATCCTCCGCGTATCATCCTCCGCGTGTCATCCTCCGCGTGTCATCCTCCGCGTATCATCCTCCGCGTATTATCCTCCGCGTGTCATCCTCCGCGTATCATCCTCTGCGTATCATCCTCCGCGTATCATCCTCCGCGTGTCATCCTCCGCGTGTCATCCTCCGCGTATCATCCTCCGCGTATCATCCTCCGCGTATCATCCTCCGCGTATCATCCTCCGCGTATCATCCTCCGCGTGTCATCCTCCGCGTATCATCCTCTGCGTATCATCCTCTGCGTATCATCCTCCGCGTGTCATCCTCCGCGTATCATCCTCCGCGTATCATCCTCCGCGTGTCATCCTCCGCGTGTCATCCTCCGCGTATCATCCTCCGCGTGTCATCCTCCGCGTATCATCCTCCGCGTATCATCCTCCGCGTATCATCCTCCGCGTGTCATCCTCCGCGTGTCATCCTCCGCGTATCATCCTCCGCGTATCATCCTCCGCGTGTCATCTTCCGCGTATCATCCTCCGCGTATCATCCTCCGCGTATCATCCTCCGCGTATCATCCTCCGCGTGTCATCCTCCGCGTATCATCCTCCGCGTATCATCCTCCGCGTATCATCCTCCGCGTATCATCCTCCGCGTATCATCCTCCGCGTATCATCCTCCGCGTATCATCCTCCGCGTGTCATCCTCCGCGTATCATCCTCCGCGTATCATCCTCCGCGTATCATCCTCCGCGTATCATCCTCCGCGTATCATCCTCCGCGTATCATCCTCCGCGTATCATCCTCCGCGTGTCATCCTCCGCGTATCATCCTCCGCGTATCATCCTCCGCGTATCATCCTCCGCGTGTCATCCTCCGCGTATCATCCTCCGCGTATCATCCTCCGCGTATCATCCTCCGCGTATCATCCTCCGCGTATCATCCTCCGCGTATCATCCTCCGCGTGTCATCCTCCGCGTATCATCCTCCGCGTATCATCCTCCGCGTATCATCCTCCGCGTGTCATCCTCCGCGTGTCATCCTCCGCGTATCATCCTCCGCGTATCATCCTCCGCGTATCATCCTCCGCGTGCCATCCTCCTCGTGTCATCCTCCGCGTATCATCCTCCGCGTATCATCCTCCGCGTATCATCCTCCGCGTGTCATCCTCCGCGTGTCATCCTCCGCGTATCATCCTCCGCGTATCATCCTCCGCGTATCATCCTCCACGTATCATCCTCCGCGTATCATCCTCCGCGTGTCATCCTCCGCGTATCATCCTCCGCGTATCATCCTCCGCGTATCATCCTCCGCGTGTCATCCTCCGCGTATCATCCTCCGCGTATCATCCTCCGCGTATCATCCTCCGCGTGTCATCCTCCGCGTATCATCCTCCGCGTATCATCCTCCGCGTATCATCCTCCGCGTATCATCCTCCGCGTGTCATCCTCCGCGTATCATCCTCCGAGTATCATCCTCCGCGTATCATCCTCCGCGTATCATCCTCCGCGTATCATCCTCCGCGTATCATCCTCCGCGTATCATCCTCCGCGTATCATCCTCCGCGTATCATCCTCCGCGTATCATCCTCCGCGTATCATCCTCCGCGTATCATCCTCCACGTATCATCCTCCGCGTGTCATCCTCCGCGTATCATCCTCCGCGTATCATCCTCCGCGTATCATCCTCCGCGTATCATCCTCCGCGTGTCATCCTCCGCGTATCATCCTCCGCGTATCATCCTCCGCGTATCATCCTCCGCGTATCATCCTCCGCGTATCATCCTCTGCGTATCATCCTCTGCGTATCATCCTCTGCGTATCATCCTCCGCGTATCATCCTCCGCGTATCATCCTCCGCGTATCATCCTCCGCGTATCATCCTCCGCGTATCATCCTCCGCGTATCATCCTCCGTGTGTCATCCTCCGCGTATCATCCTCCGCGTATCATCCTCCGCGTATCATCCTCCGCGTATCATCCTCCGCGTATCATCCTCCGCGTGTCATCCTCCGCGTATCATCCTCCGCGTATCATCCTCCGCGTATCATCCTCCGCGTGTCATCCTCCGCGTGTCATCCTCCGCGTATCATCCTCCGCGTATTATCCTCCGCGTGTCATCCTCCGCGTGTCATCCTCTGCGTATCATCCTCCGCGTATCATCCTCCGCGTATCATCCTCCGCGTATCATCCTCTGCGTATCATCCTCCGCGTGTCATCCTCCGCGTATCATCCTCCGCGTATCATCCTCCGCGTATCATCCTCCGCGTGTCATCCTCCGCGTGTCATCCTCCGCGTATCATCCTCCGCGTATTATCCTCCGCGTGTCATCCTCCGCGTATCATCCTCTGCGTATCATCCTCCGCGTATCATCCTCCGCGTGTCATCCTCCGCGTGTCATCCTCCGCGTATCATCCTCCGCGTATCATCCTCCGCGTATCATCCTCCGCGTATCATCCTCCGCGTATCATCCTCCGCGTGTCATCCTCCGCGTATCATCCTCCGCGTATCATCCTCCGCGTATCATCCTCCGCGTATCATCCTCCGCGTATCATCCTCCGCGTGTCATCCTCCGCGTATCATCCTCCGCGTATCATCCTCCGCGTATCATCCTCCGCGTATCATCCTCCGCGTATCATCCTCTGCGTATCATCCTCTGCGTATCATCCTCTGCGTATCATCCTCCGCGTGTCATCCTCCGCGTATCATCCTCCGCGTATCATCCTCCGCGTATCATCCTCCGCGTGCCATCCTCCTCGTGTCATCCTCCGCGTATCATCCTCCGCGTATCATCCTCCGCGTATCATCCTCCGCGTGTCATCCTCCGCGTGTCATCCTCCGCGTATCATCCTCCGCGTATCATCCTCCGCGTATCATCCTCCACGTATCATCCTCCGCGTATCATCCTCCGCGTGTCATCCTCCGCGTATCATCCTCCGCGTATCATCCTCCGCGTATCATCCTCCGCGTGTCATCCTCCGCGTATCATCCTCCGCGTATCATCCTCCGCGTATCATCCTCCGCGTGTCATCCTCCGCGTATCATCCTCCGCGTATCATCCTCCGCGTATCATCCTCCGCGTATCATCCTCCGCGTGTCATCCTCCGCGTATCATCCTCCGAGTATCATCCTCCGCGTATCATCCTCCGCGTATCATCCTCCGCGTATCATCCTCCGCGTATCATCCTCCGCGTATCATCCTCCGCGTATCATCCTCCGCGTATCATCCTCCGCGTATCATCCTCCGCGTATCATCCTCCGCGTATCATCCTCCACGTATCATCCTCCGCGTGTCATCCTCCGCGTATCATCCTCCGCGTATCATCCTCCGCGTATCATCCTCCGCGTATCATCCTCCGCGTGTCATCCTCCGCGTATCATCCTCCGCGTATCATCCTCCGCGTATCATCCTCCGCGTATCATCCTCCGCGTATCATCCTCTGCGTATCATCCTCTGCGTATCATCCTCTGCGTATCATCCTCCGCGTATCATCCTCCGCGTATCATCCTCCGCGTATCATCCTCCGCGTATCATCCTCCGCGTATCATCCTCCGCGTATCATCCTCCGTGTGTCATCCTCCGCGTATCATCCTCCGCGTATCATCCTCCGCGTATCATCCTCCGCGTATCATCCTCCGCGTATCATCCTCCGCGTGTCATCCTCCGCGTATCATCCTCCGCGTATCATCCTCCGCGTATCATCCTCCGCGTGTCATCCTCCGCGTGTCATCCTCCGCGTATCATCCTCCGCGTATTATCCTCCGCGTGTCATCCTCCGCGTGTCATCCTCTGCGTATCATCCTCCGCGTATCATCCTCCGCGTATCATCCTCCGCGTATCATCCTCTGCGTATCATCCTCCGCGTGTCATCCTCCGCGTATCATCCTCCGCGTATCATCCTCCGCGTATCATCCTCCGCGTGTCATCCTCCGCGTGTCATCCTCCGCGTATCATCCTCCGCGTATTATCCTCCGCGTGTCATCCTCCGCGTATCATCCTCTGCGTATCATCCTCCGCGTATCATCCTCCGCGTGTCATCCTCCGCGTGTCATCCTCCGCGTATCATCCTCCGCGTATCATCCTCCGCGTATCATCCTCCGCGTATCATCCTCCGCGTATCATCCTCCGCGTGTCATCCTCCGCGTATCATCCTCCGCGTATCATCCTCCGCGTATCATCCTCCGCGTGTCATCCTCCGCGTGTCATCCTCCGCGTATCATCCTCCGCGTATCATCCTCCGCGTATCATCCTCCGCGTGTCATCCTCCTCGTGTCATCCTCCGCGTATCATCCTCCGCGTGTCATCCTCCGCGTATCATCCTCCGCGTATCATCCTCCGCGTATTATCCTCCGCGTGTCATCCTCCGCGTATCATCCTCCGCGTATCATCCTCCGCGTATCATCCTCCGCGTATCATCCTCCGCGTATCATCCTCTGCGTATCATCCTCTGCGTATCATCCTCTGCGTATCATCCTCCGCGTATCATCCTCCGCGTATCATCCTCCGCGTATCATCCTCCGCGTATCATCCTCCGCGTATCATCCTCCGCGTATCATCCTCCGTGTGTCATCCTCCGCGTATCATCCTCCGCGTATCATCCTCCGCGTATCATCCTCCGCGTATCATCCTCCGCGTATCATCCTCCGCGTGTCATCCTCCGCGTATCATCCTCCGCGTATCATCCTCCGCGTATCATCCTCCGCGTGTCATCCTCCGCGTGTCATCCTCCGCGTATCATCCTCCGCGTATTATCCTCCGCGTGTCATCCTCCGCGTGTCATCCTCTGCGTATCATCCTCCGCGTATCATCCTCCGCGTATCATCCTCCGCGTATCATCCTCTGCGTATCATCCTCCGCGTGTCATCCTCCGCGTATCATCCTCCGCGTATCATCCTCCGCGTATCATCCTCCGCGTGTCATCCTCCGCGTATCATCCTCCGCGTATCATCCTCTGCGTATCATCCTCCGCGTATCATCCTCCGCGTGTCATCCTCCGCGTATCATCCTCCGCGTATCATCCTCCGCGTATCATCCTCCCCCGGGCTTGGCAGTATCGCACCCACAACCCCTCACATTGCACCTGTCGTGTCCACTATCCCATCTCTTCTTACTTGCCAAGCCACTCCTCCTTTCTCCCCGAGAAGGTGGCTGAGGCGAGGGGAGATATGGCAGTGCGGTTACACACCATGCCTCTACTGCTACCACCATTCTAACCTTGTCATTCCCCACCCCTCCTGCGCCCCTCCTTCTCACTTCCCCTTTCTCCCCCCTCGCAGGTGGCTGAGGTGAGGGGAGACATGGCCGTGCTGTCACACGCCGCCACAGGCACCACCATTCTCACCTTGTCTCTCCACTGCTCCCCTTCTTCCCAATACCCCCCCTTTCTCCCCCCTCGCAGGTGACTGAGATGAGGGGAGACATGGCCGTGCTGTCACACGCCGCCACAGGCACCACCATTCTCACCTTGTCTCTCCACTGATCCCCTTCTTCCCAATACCCCCCCTTTCTCCCCCCTCGCAGGTGACTGAGATGAGGGGAGATATGGCCGTGCTGTCACACGCCGCCACAGGCACCACCATTCTCACCTTGTCTCTCCACTGCTCCCCTTCTTCCCAATACCCCCCCTTTTTCCCCCCTCGCAGGTGGCTGAGATGAGGGGAGACATGGCAGTGCTGTCACACGCCGCCACAGGCACCACCATTCTGCTGGCTCTGCCCATGGGGGGAGGGGAGGACAGCGGCAGCTTCGAGGATTGGGGGGGAGATGAGGAGAGTGGGGGTGAAAGGGATGGGTGTGGGTCAGGGAGTGACGGGGAGTCTGTGGAATTTGCGAGTGCTGCAATGCCAGGCGTGCTGGGATCTGGTCAGGAGCAGGGACCTGGGCAGGAGCAGGAACGTGGGCAGGAGCAGGGACCTGGGCAGGAGCAGGCAAGCCTGCAGCAGTATCCATCTGTGCAGCAGCAGCAGCAGCAGCAGCAGCCCCAGCAAGCATCTGTGCAGCAGCAGGAACCTGGCCAGCAGCAGGCACCTGGGCAGCAGCGGGCACCTCTGCAGCAGCGGGCAGCACGGGCGCGCTCTCACCCCAAGCCACCAACTGGCATGTTCGAATCCGTAAAGCGTACAGGAGAGGCGGACAGGGTATCGCCAGCAGTGGCGGCAGCGCCACCAGAGGAGGGGGTGTTTCCACCACGGTCGCATTCGCTCCCGAAACCCCGCTCCCACAGGGACGGCATGGGAGACGCTGAGGGGGGGCAGGTTCGTGCAGGGGCGGCGTGTGAAACTGTATCAGGCCGGCAGATAACGCGAGCACAATCTCTCCAACAGCTGCACAAGCTGCACACGGAGCGTGCAGCAGGGGAGGCGGAGGGGTTGGTGAGAGCAGCAGTGGCGGGGCGGGGCGTGGCGGTGGTGGATGACAACGCGGTGAACCGCATGGTGGCAAGGAGAACGCTGCAGGGCTACGGGGCGAATGTGCTGCTGCTCCCCTCCGGGGAGGAGGCGCTGCAGGCGCTCTCTGATGCTGCGTCCTCCCCGCCCATCCAGCTGTTGCTGCTCGACCTCCACATGCCGCCCGGCATCGACGGGTGAGTGCCTTGCATCTCATCACCTGCCTCTCACCCCACCCACACGCTCCCCACTCGTCAACCACTCATCATCAATGCCATGCTCTCCTCGCCCGTTCACCTGCTGCTGCTTGACCTCCACATGCCAACCAGCATCGACGGGTGAGCTTGGATTCTATTGCTGGTCTCTTTCGCCGCTGCTGCTGAAGTGCGATTGTTGAGACTGTTACCTGCCTCCCATATGTCATATTGAATTGGACTCTCCTTACTTTGAATGTGGTTAAAGGAGGTTCTTCATTGGACTTTGCAACTGAAATGAATTGCAATGTTCCTTCTTTCCTTGGGTGCCCTCAGTGGTCTTTCCTTTGGAACTGCAATCCTGTAATTCCTCAGCTGCCTTGTTCACGTCCCTTTCTTGCCACCGGTTGCCTCCCATTTCCCCACAGATTTGAGACGGCTCGTCAGATCCGAGCAATGGAGAGGGCACAGTGTAGCAAGAGCAGCAGCAAGGCAGCCCAGATGCCAGAGGGAGACAATGCTGCCACTGATGCAGCAGCAGCAGCAACAGCAGCAGCGGAAACAGCAGCAGTGGCAGCAGCATGTGCAACTGATGCAACCACTCACGAGCGCCTTTGTATCATAGCATTGACAGCTGACTTGGATGTAGGCGTGAAGCGAGCGTGCTTGGAGGCCGGAATGGATGGGGCAGTGAGGAAGCCGATTGTGGCTCAGGAGCTGCTCTCAGCGCTCATAACAGCCGGGTTTGGAGCCAGTGCACTCTGATTCTGATTCGACTCGACAGCTACCACCACACGAGCGCTTTGATAAAACTGCACTGGCTGCTACTTGGGGGTGTGGCAGTGGAGAGAGAGCGTTCAGGGATGGAAGGGGCAGTGAGGAAACCCACTTTGGTAGAGGAACTGCTTGCAGCACTCATAGCAGCCGGGTTCGGAGCCGGTGTCTGCTGATTCTGGTTTGACTCAACGGTCACCTTTCTAGCGTGGCACTGGCTGCTGGCTTGGATGTGGGAGTGCAGCAAGCATGCTTAGAGGCAGGGATGGACGGGGCGATGAGTGGTGATGAGTGGGTGCTGTTGGGAGAGCAGTGGAGTGGGCCCTTGCTGGGGGTGCTTGTCTGGTATGACAACTAGCTGGCTGGCTATGGCTTTCTGAAGGGGGTCATGTCATGATTGGGCGATGAGTGGGTGCTGTTGGGAGAGCAGTGGAGTGGGCCCTTGCTGGGGGCGTTTGTCTGGTACTATATGATTGACATGAAGGCACTGAAAGCTGCACAGAACGGACAGTACGCCTACTTGATTAATCTGAGTTGCAAGTTGCACGACAGGTAGAGCTGGCGAGCGCCCTTAGGACATTCAAAGGACTTGCAGAGTTGAAGAAAATATGCAATTCATGTGTGGGTGTGTGTGGAGAATAATGACGTGTAGGGTAGGCCTATTAGTACTACAGCTAATGTATCATATTGGGGATACAGCACAATGATGTACGGTCACGTACCGCATGTGGCGAAATCGGCGAAGACGCGGAAAATATCGGTTTCATTTTACTGTGGATCAGCGTGTAGGGAACTGCGCGGCGAACCATTGTCCGTACGTCGTTCGGAATGTGGAAACGTCGCGGTCCAGGTCAGACTTGGTGGGCAATTTCAGCTTTCACTTTACAGAACTGTTGCTGGTGTATGCCGTAGCCGCTGGTCCGCACTGGTGGCCCACTAGCCCAGCTGCAGCAATTGTCCAATCTAAGGGCGTGTGTCCTTCGGCAATATTTGTAAAGTTTGCTTTTTAGACTCGAGTTCTTACAGTTGGAAATAGGTTCGAACTGTAGTGGAATATTACAACTCTCGATAGCCGAGCCGCCCTGCAAATTTCCAGTCAAGCAAATGTGACATCGAGAGCCCGATTATCGAACTCGACTTTCTACAGCATTGCTCGCGTCGCGTACTCGTCTCGTAGGTTACCCTGTCTGGATTCTTGACAGTGAATCACGTCGTCACTGGGCGACACGGAACAGAACGGCCTACAAATAGCGCACGACGATCTTCGTCAGTGTCGCCGATTTCGCCGCAGCCATGAACGCGGTCAGAAGGACACACGTTCACAAATTCGTGCGGGCCCACGTTCGGCCATAAAGTCGACCGATGTTCGTATTCCAAATTCGGTTCCACCTTCCGCAGCTGTTTTCACGAATATCGTGAACCATCTTGCTGAAGTCAGCGAAACCGGTAACCACTCAAAACTCGAACTCGAATTTGAACCTGGCCCACCAAGGACACGCGCCCTAAGACAACCAAGCATCTGTACCTGACTCCCCCCCCCCCCCCATTCCCTCCCGGCCTGGTTATTTCCAAACACCAACCCAGAAAACCCCAAGCAAAACTATGCGAACCGAAGTAAACCGAAGACTCTTCGCGTCACGCAAGTTCACTTTCAATTCGCTCCAAGCGGTTGAGTACAATGCTGTGTGGTTTGAAACGGGTTTTAGACGTCAACACTTCGAACCGTGATTCACCAGCCCCAACCCTCGATATTTTACGCAAACATACATACTGTAACTGAAATCGATAGTAACCTTGAATTGATAACCCATAGATGTCATGGTCTGCTATGTCCCGTTCTCGTTCCCTGTCCAGTTCATGCGTGCACCCACCATGTTGGGCTGAGAATTTCAGCCTTAGGATCTTTGCAGAGAATAGGCTAGTAGGTGCTAGAGTAGCACAGCGGAAGTCTTGAGTGAATGTACTTGTGCTGGTATGTGAGAACAAGTAATTGATTAAAGCAAGGGGCATACAGGAATATATAGAAAAGATAGATTACAAGAAGCGGTTATGTTTATCGAGACGCGTAACGCTTCGACTATCGAGGTGGTTACTGTTCACTGAAGCGTCGCTTGCTGTTATGTAACCTCCAGGCGGTTACAGCTCGCAACCTCCAGTTGCGGTTTGATGTGGTACGCGCCTTTTCGACTTCATTCCCCTTTTGTTGTGCTTCAGTATCGGGTGAGGTTCGATACTACAGAAACGCACTAAGTCATGCGTTTATTTTCCCAACACTCCCCTTCGTTTCTAGAGTGTCGACGTGGTCAGCTTCGGTGACGTGGTCCAATCCGGTGAGCAGCATGCAGTACTCGAATTTCCCCTTTGGTAGCTTCTTGGTGAGATAATCTGCTGCCATCTCGGTGGTCGGGCAGTAATCCAGCTGGAGTTTTCCTTTCTCAATTTCGTCTTTCACGAAAAAGTATCGCAGTGCGATATGCTTGGTTCTGTTGGCGAAGCCATTCTTGTTCGCGATCCGTATCGCGGACTGGTTGTCGCAGAAAAGCGAGAAGCTGGGTACTTTCGCAATTTTCGCTTCTTCCAGCAGTTCGCGCAGGTACAGGCCCTCCTTGGTAGCAGTGCAGAGAGCAATATACTCTGCTTCAGCAGATGATAGTGCGACGAGTTCCTGCTTACTTGATTGCCAGGAGATAGTTCCGACGGGCTCGAGACGGTAGATGTAGCCGGTGCGAGAGCGACGATCGACACGATCAGCAGCATGATCAGCGTCGACGTAGCCGAGTAGTTTTAGGTCGGTCGTCGTGTTCTTGTGATACATTAGGCCAACTGTTGGCGTCGAGATGAAGTAGAGAAGGGCACGGTTGAGTTCCTTGAGGTGACGTTGTTCTGGGCGCTTGAGGTAGGTCGCTAGTTGACTGGCGCTGTAGGATAAGTCCGGTCGGCACGTAACGGCGGCAAAGAGTAGGCAGCCCAGTTTCTGTTGATATTCCTGGATTCCAGCAGGCGGCAGTGGGTTGGTTTCTTCGGTTGGATCGAGCGATAGGTGACTGTAGGGTGTTGCGACGTGCGTCGGTGTGATGCAGAAGCGTTCGGCGATAGTGCTTGCGTATTTTGAGGCGCTGAGACGAATGGTGTTGTCTTCGTCGAGGATGTTGAGCCCTAGATACTGCGTGACGTTGGGTGAGACTGTGAGGGAGAGATCTGTTTGAAGCTTCCTCTCGAACCAGGTGACGATGGTGGTAGTTGACCCGATGTAAAGCAAATCGTCGACGTAGACGATTAGTAGAACGTAGTCGTTGTCGCGAGTGAGACGATACATGCCCTGGTCATGGGGCAATTGGTTGAATCCGATGCGTTTGAGTCGTGCGTGCAGGTACTGCTGCCAGAGTCGCGGTGCCTGCTTAATTCCGTATAGTGATTTAAGTAGTTGGCAGACGAGGGAAGGGTCGTCGACGAACCCGTGGGGCTGTTCGACGAAGATTTCAGCGTCGACTGGGGCGTACAGAAAGGCGTTGGCGACGTCGATTTGTCGGAGTGGGCGGCGACGTGAGGCGGCGATGGCGAGGAGTATGCGCAGGGAAGTATGTCGACTGACTGGTGCGAAGGTTTCAGTGAAATCGCGACCATACTCTTGGTCGAATCCGCGGACGACCCATCGAGCTTTAAACCGTTCGATGGTTCCGTCGGAGTTGGTTTTGATCCGGAATACCCATTTTCCGGAGAGAATGGGTTTGTCTTGTGCGAGTGATGCAGGGACGATCTTCCAGGTGTTGCGGTCTGAAAGCGCCTTTAACTCCTTTTCCATGGCTTCGCGCCATTTTTCTTTGTGTTCCCCCCCCAGAGCCTGCTTGACAGAGCGAGGCTCTTCAGGTGGCGACGAAGGCCCGTGCACTGCAGCGACGAGTCCCAGGACTTGGAGTCCGCTGGGGGTGTGACGGTTCAGCAAGGGGTCCTCGGGATAGACTGCTTCGTCTCCCGCTTCAGGATCAGGTGCGAATCCGGGGCCGTATCGTTCAGAGATGTCGGTGTTGACGGGTTGGGGTGTTACGTAACCATTGTCGGCGAAATGGTAGTAGGCGTCGGCATTGTTACTGTCGCGAGGGTTTTCCTCGTCCATGGGGATTGGGACGGAGCAGTAAGGAAGGGGTCTAGCAGCTTCGGAGGCGCCGTCGACGTTTTCTTCTTCCCAGTCAGCAGCATCGGAGGGTGAAGCGAAGGCTCGGGAACCAGAAAATCCGCCGGTGGGTTCGACGTGGCGTGCGATGTTGTCCAGGTAATGGTTGAGGGTGAGTCGCTCGTAGAAGATAACGTCACGTGCTGCTACTGTTTCCTTTGTGTGGACGTCGAAGATTCGCCAGGCTTCGTAATGTTTTGCCAGCCCGAGGTGTAGAACCCACTGTGCACGTTGCGAGAATCTCCCTGCGCGTGCGGTGTGTGGGCGGTACTGTACCATACACCCAAAAACTCGTAACATTTTTGTGTTGCCCAGCTTCCCAGTCCACAACAGGTGCGGAGATGCGTTGTTGGGCAGTGAAGACGAGGACAGCAAGTTGTGCAGTAGGACAGCGTGGTCCATCGCTGCTGGCCATTCTGAGTTGGGCAGTCGAGTTCCACGTAGCAGCTTTCGCATGGTTGTCTGCAGGGTCCTGTTCATCCTTTCTGCTACACCCTGCTGTTGGTGAGCGTAAGGAAGAGAGATGAGGCGTTTGATGCCTCTTTCTGCCAAGAACTGTGTGAAGTTGTTCGACTGGTACTCCTTTGCGCCATCTGACTGAAAACTCTTCAGTTTCGCTCCTGACTCTCTTTCAGCGACAGGTAGCCAGGCTGTGAAGGCTTCTAGAGCCATGTCTCGTGACGGTAAGTTGACGTGCCAGGCATATCGCGTTGCGGCGTCGATGAAGGTGATGACGTAGTTCAGATCTTCTCGTCCTTCGGTTCGAGGTATGTATAGTATGTCGCTGTAGACTTTCTCGAGTGGTTGATAAACGGGGGCGCTCGGATTGTGGTGTGACGGGAACGGCTGGTGAGGCAGATCTGCTTCTGGGCAGATGAAGCAGGTGCCGCGTGGTCGTTCGAGTTCACGTCCGTTGGGAAGAAGTAGGGCGTTCTTGTCTAACACTCCTGCTCGTATTGTGTTGTAAAGTGTTGTGTTTCCACGATGTCCAAGGCGTTGATGCCAGATGTCTTCGGAGGCGCTGTGACCGACGGAGCGTCGATAGAAGTCTGCGTTAGCGAAGAAGGCGGCGTGTGTTGCTGCACTTCGATGAACGGCGCGTGGTGCTGGCGTTAACTGTTGGGCGGCTGTCGGTGGCGTGTCGATGATGAGAGGTGGATGTGCGACGGAGGGACCGGGCTGTGGAG